GGGTTTAGGCTGAAGTAAAAAGTATAATGCCTAACATTATTAAACAATGAAAGAATGAATGCATTTACAGTTTCACTTACAACTTGCTGTATATATAAAAGACAACATATAAATGAAAACAAACTAAATGTAATGCATAATTCATTAATTCCAGAGCTCTATATCTTTCAAAACATAATGCTTTATACTTTTTTTTTTTTTTTAAAGACTTCTACAGACTTCTACTCAGATTGCTCCCCTCTAACAGAAATACAATCACTTTTTTTTAGTTCTTACTGTAACAAAAATGTTCTCATTCATTCATCACTGTGTACCTCAACACTAGAGGCGAGGTGGGCGAAGTGTCTTGCCCAAGGACACAATGACGTAATGCAGTAGAGCCACGGTCAGCCCAGCCGTCTCCCATCCCAGTATTAACCAGGTCTAACCCCTGCTTAACTTTTGATATCAGACTGAATCAGGCAAGGTTACGGTATGGGCGTACATTAATAACGTGACCACATTATTATTGTGTAGGGGTGTAACAGTAACCAAAATATCGTGATATCGTGTCGTCAGAAGTCTCTCAATAATACTGTGGGCCATCACAATATATCAAATCACAAGTTTCTTTGCTTAAACTCATTGTTTTGGTGCAGCAATAGCTAAAAAAAAAACAGGGAACTACATAGACCATGATCCTTTGCTCTGTATATCGAGAAAATATCATATTGTGAAATTTGGATATCGTTACATCTCTATTATTGTGTCAGTGGACATGACACCTGCCTTTTCTATTGAATCATTTGCAGTGTGAGTTTGTGATTGGCAGCGGCCGGAGAATTTCTTGGCACACATGCGCAGCCACACCATGAAAAGTACTATATAATATTAATAGGTCTTTTATATCTTTATTATGAAACTTGCACAGGTCTTTTATTTTGAAAGAGTCACTTGAGTGGTTGTGATAGGTGTGTGACATTCGCTGATAGAGCACCGCGTTGGGGGGACAGAGCTGTCAGCAGGGCTCTGTGTTATTAGTGCACAGCTGTGTGATGGATGAGTGAAAGCCCCGCTCCAGACACTGTCCTGCTCCTCTCCTCTGCCTCACGCTTCCTCTCTTCCTCTCCCCCCTCCCCCCTCCCCCCGTGTGTGTGTCCTACAGAAAGGGAAGATGAAAGAGGCGGCTCAGAGGTACCAGTACGCCCTACGCAAGTTCCCGCGCGAAGGGTACGGAGACGAGCTCAAGGCCTTCAAGGACCTCAGGGTGTCTCTCTACCTCAATCTGTCCCGATGTCGCAGGAAGACTAATGTAAGACTCTTATACACTACTCTAGAGGCAATGGTAAAGGGGTACTGTGGAACTTTTATGTTAAAGGGTCCACAATATTGCATTTTAAACTTATAAATTACCATGGAGACAAGCAGGTCAGATCTATGGAGAGGCAAGACGGCTCAAAAACACTAAAAACACTTTAACTGCAAACATACACAGGGATATACACAGATAAGTTGATGCCGTACTGTGAAACAATGACACAATGCATCTTTAAATGTGATAAATTAAGATAAATTAGAGGCTTGAGGTTGTCTTCATTTGAACAAACCCAGACTATAAGTAATAAGAATTGAGTTTAAAAGCATCTGCTCATGTTGGTAATAGCCATGCTTACAATTTGCAATTAAAAAATTCTTTACTTCCACAGAAAGGGTCCAGCTTCTGATTAAATGTATAGTGAGACAGTGCTGCAAAACAATATGCGGCATTTATAAAAAATATAAAATCAGAATATGTCTCCTTTATTTGATAGGCTGGTGATTTTTTCCAATACTTCCAAAGCAAATCACTATCAAAAGTGCGGTGGTGAGCTGTGGACGTGAAGCAGCAGTGGGTGGACAGCCTGTGCACGGGTAGAGCATGTGTTAGTGTTCAGATGGTTGCGACGAGGCGTGGAGACTGGGCACAAGAATGTAATCCTGTCACACACTTTGTGTCCCTGCATGTGCCAGTCACTGCAGCCTGTTCCACTGACGGATTTAAGCAGGAAACTCAGAGAATAACATGGGAAGTGATTGTATAGGCTCAGACATAATCTGGATTTAAATCAGTCTATGTGTGATTCATTCGCCTGTAGAGTTTAACAGATGTAAATGTACACTTGTTCCTTCTTGTTTACTGAGAGCTGTGATTTACAGGCTGTAATCATGTTTTTCTTGCAGGACTTTGGAATGGCTGAAGAATTTGCTACAAAGGCATTAGAGCTGAAGCCCAAATCCTATGAGGCGTACTACGCTCGGGCGCGGGCCAAGCGCAGCAGCAGGTAAAGCACTCACTCAGTGTTAGTGTGTGGAGTGAGTCTGTGACAGATGTAACATGTGTCTTCTCTCATCAAACAGACAGTTCACTGCAGCGCTGGCCGACCTGCACGAAGCCGCCAGACTCTGCCCCAACAACAGAGAGATCAGGAGGCTGCTGGCCCGAGTGGAGGAGGAGTGTAAACAGATGCAGCGCACACAGGCCAAAGGAGCCACCGCCGCCCCCTACCACGCTCCAGGACACGAGTCTGACAAAGAGCAGGATGAGCCCCCAGAGCATGGATACCCCCGCCTGGAGCACAGGGACACTCTGGAGCACAGGGACATCCTGGAGGAGGAGGACGAGGAGGAGGATGAAGAGGAGCACAGCAGAGCGTCTGAGGCCTGCAGCTGGTCCCATAACAGTTATTCCTTCAGCCGATCCTTCTCCACTGAGCAGCCCTGCTCCAGTCAGAGCAGAGCCCACCCCCCAGAGCCCTGCTCTCCCCCTGGACACAGACCCCCTACCAGGGCCCCCCGGGAGCACAGAGAGGCTGTGGCCCAGCAGCAGGCTCTGGTCCTACAGCCCACCAAGCAGGCGCAGATAGTCAAGACCAACCAACACATGAGCTCCAAACAGAAGGGTCAGTACGCCCCCTCCAGCCCTCTGCCCAGCAGACACTTGTCCAGTGCCCTGAAGCCAGGCCCGGGCATCGACATCAGCCCCCTGGGGCCCCCTCCTGATGAGCCCGTGTATGAGAACCGCATGGTGATGGCAGCGGCCGCTCTGGGCTACAGCTGTGACGAAGCTCTTCTGAGGGACTCCTCGTACTGCAGCAGCTCTAAGCCCCTGGTACAGGACAGACTCTGTGCTCCATCCTCCTCCTCCCTGGATGCACTGGCCTGCTCCGGCCCCGTCGCCCAGGGCAACCACAACGAGCCTATGCGGGACAGTACAGGAGCAGGCAGCATGAGAGTGTCAAGCTCTACCAGCAGCCTGGCCTCCAGCAGCAGCCTGTCCGACAGCGGCAAACTGGGGCCTGATGTCCGCACCAAGGTCCCTGACAAGAACAAGCAGAACCAGGGCTCCAGCTCAGACTACAAGCCCCGCCCCTTCATGGGCGTCACTGATAAGACCGCCCGCTTCCACCAGCAGCACAGTGTGCCCGGCCCACACAGCCAGAACCACCAGGCCCACAGCTGGATCAACCCTCTCCAGCCAATCAGCTCCTCCGATATGCTCTGCCACGGCATGGCAGCCAATGACTGTGACTCTTACTCCAAAGCGGTCAGCACTTACCACGACCAGCACAAGGGCCACGTGGCCATGGCTATGAGCAGCCTCCAGAACGGCACTCACGACTTCACAGATAAGTTCTGCTCCTCCGCCAACTGTTACAAAGAGTCAAAGCCCCCTGTGGCTCTGCCACACACCTACATGGACAAGGCCAAACCGGGCCTGGTCCGAGAGAACCCTGGTCTCCATGTAGCCTCGATCAAACCAAAGCGCTCCTTCATCGAGTCCAATGTGTAGACGTGTTTTTCAGTCAGATGCACAACATTTTCAACATTTTCATTTAGTTACAAGTGTTTGTTGTGCTGATGGTGAAGGTTCAGACAGGTCCTGTTCTGTTACACATGTCCAGTGATTCTGAGGCACTGCACTGAAGGAGTATGTGGTCCACAGAGGCAAAGAGGCACTTTACTCACATTTGGGCTGCCCCCGGGCCTGTGTCAGTGTCACAGAGCTCGTGTCACAGGGCCTGTGTCACAGCGTCAGAGAGCTTGTGTCACAGGGTCTGTGTTACAGAGCCCCAGGGCCCCACAGAGGGCCCGCATGAGACAGTCCAATGTTAAACAGCCCCATGCTAAACAGTCCAGTGTTAAACAGACTGTGTTGTGTTGATTCTGTCCCTGGTGCTGAGAGCAGAGAAGAGAGAGGAGGGGGAGGGGGAGAGGTGGAGTGGGCATTCCTGTGTATAAGGATGTTATAGATCCTCATGTTGTTTATATTATAAATATGTATTTTCCTTATTTCCGTGAAGCTCTGTGTTAAATGTATTGACACGTTCTGGTGTATTTGAGTTTTATGCACAATGTTGTTGAAAAGATATTAATGTAAAAGTACATTTGTTAAATATGTTTGTACATTCTATAAATCAGCATTAACATGGAAATCCTTTATGTACCTGCTTGTTGTTATTGCTGTCTAGTTTAATTTATTTACAGCGCCTTTGGCTTGGTTCAATGTTAAAGCAATATATTTTATATAGTTATTTTTGCACAGCTACTAAGACATTTTACGAGTATGTTTATGCGCATGCTACAATTGCAGTTTATATTGGTAAAAAGTCTGTAAAAAGAAATGGTTTGGGCACAGTGCCATCAGCTCTATTTTATGATACTGTATATTCATTGCAATTGTTGCCATGTTTCAGTATTGTGAGCTTTCTTAGCTGTGATCACATACTGTAATAAGAAGAATGCCATAGCCACCTCCATGGGAGAAATAAAGACCCACTGAAACACACACGTGGACTCCTGTTCTCACTCATTATTATTGCAATTGTTAACTGCCTGTTTTCACTGAACTTGCTACTGCTAATGAAATGAAAATATACTTTTTATTATTAACATTAGTTTATTTCATAAAGTTTTATTACATATCCTAGAATAGAAATATACACATACCATTTTACATACATTTTATGTAGTGTAGCATTAAAGGGCCTATACTACACTGTTTTCTGATCTCTGGAGGTAGCTATTAATTTGAAAAGTACCACCTAATGACACCACAAGGTGTAACAGAGCATTTTGAGCTTTGGAAATGTAGACAGATTAATAATAAAGTGTTACTCAAACATGTTGGAATGAAACAAGCAACTCCAGGTCTGTTTTTGAAGAGGTAACAACATTATAACATGGCTTAAAGCTCACAAGAGTCCATTTTGTGTAATACAGGACATTAAACGTTGCTACAGCTGCTGACTCGATTTCCAGCGAGCTATGGCCATCTTGAGCGATCTGTTGGGAGTGAGCAGGGTGGTCTGGAGGGGCAGGTTGGTCATGGGGCTGGTTTTGGTTGTCCCTCTGATCCAGCTCTCGATAGACTTCCGCTCATAGGAATATCCATCTGCGGAAAAGTCAGAGAGTGAAATAATGATAATAATACTTTGAATAGGCACAGAGGGGGCTGGTGTGACAGACCTGCGGCGATGACTGGATCCCTCATCAGCTCTCTGGTGATGGGACAGAGGAACTCATCCGGAGCCTCTGAACCGCTCTGTGATACCTTCAGGGACTCCAGTTTTCTCAGGAGACGACCACGCAGACCTACAGACTCTGGAATAACAATAAAATGTGTTGAGTGCTGGAATAAGGTAGGATTACAAAGAATGTGTAGAGATACTGATTCATACTAGAAATTTGAGATGTATGACGAAACATGCTTCTAAATTACTCCCATGTGAGGCTTATGGTTTAATTTTTTCCTGTTAAAGGACAAATATTACACTATTTTCTAATTTACAGAATGTTAAAATGTTGTTTCCTCATCAAAAACAGACCTGGAGTTGTGTTTTGTTTCATTCACACATGTTTAACTCACAAACCCTGCGTATTTAGGCTGAGTTCTTCTCTCAGAAACATCATAAGGTGTCATTTGGTTATACAGGAAGTGCTCCACTGTGTTTTTAAACTGCACACACATTTACTAGAATCATCTGGATGATTTCAGCCCTTGAATTGTCCATTTCTACTGAATTAAAGATAAAAAGTTAACTTGAAAACTATGGCGTTATGACATCACAAGGTGGAACAGAGCATTTTGAGCTTTGTAGATGTAAACAAACTAATAATAAAGAGTTACTCAAACGTGTGAATGAAACAAAACACAAGTCCAGGGACATGTTTTGATGTGGTAACCTTATAACATGGCTAAAAGCTCACAAGAATCAATTTTGCGTAATATTCACTACCGGTCAAAAGTTTTAGAACACCACACTTTTTCCATATTTTATTTTTTTTATAAAAAGACATCAACAGTGTCACAGCATCAACATACAAGAAATGAATGAAAAGGAGCAGAAAAAAAGAGTAATCTTATGTTATCTGCCCATTTACTGTTGACCAAAGCGTATTCTAAAGTTTTGATTCATGAAAGTGTCCACCTTTGGCAGATATAACAGCTGAACACAGTCGTGGCTTGTTCTTTTTACAACAGAAATCAAATATTCTTCAGAAAGTTTTTCCCCAGTCTGTTGCAGAAGTTCCCATAAATGTGTGGCACTTGAAGGTTGCCTGGCTTTTGACTTTGACTTTTTTGTCCAGTTCATCCAAAACCAGCTCAGTGAGGTTTAAGTCTGGAGACTGTGCAGGACACTCCATGTTTTCAAGTTTACCATCTTGTTCTTTTTTTCCTCAGGTGGTTTTGGCAGAGCTTGGTCTTGTTTTGTATCTTTTATCTTTTTTTTTTTAACCTTTTTAACATAACTTTGTACCATTTCAAGCTCTTCATTGGACTTGCATGACTTGAATTGCAACAAATAACTGGAAAAATTACGGTGTTCTAAAACGTTTGACCGGTAGTATATCTGTCATGAAAAAAAGAAAACAAAAAATAAACATTATCAGATCACTGCATCAAAAAGACAAGCTTGAATCCAACACTGTAACTTTTATTTGTGTCCATAATGGCCAGTTCCTGCACTTTCCATAAAACACATAAAACCGGAGCAGTGCTAGCAGGCTTTTTAGGAGGTGACAGACTATTAACAGAAAGCTTTGTCCTTTGTGGTCTCCGAGGGAAAAATAAGTTAATTGGTCAATCTGTGCAGAGAGACAGAGAGCCAGACAACACAGAAGGACACCACAGCCCCCAAACACTGCACAGGGAGGAGTCTGGACCGGTTTAGCCTCAAGGTGAAGAGGACGAAGCAAGTTACAAGGAGAAATGTAGTTGAAATGTTACTTAGATTTAGACAAACTTAATGATCCACAAGGGGAATTATTTGGAAATTTCCCTTGTGCATCAATATATAACAGTGTGACAATTAAAGGAGCACTATGAAACTTTTCGGAAGGAAGGTTCACCGTGTTTTTAATAATAATAATAATGCATTAGTCTTATTTAGGACTTTTCCAGACGCTCAAAGTCACTTTACAATTTGGTGCATTTTTCATTCATTCCTCACTTGATAAGATACTTTTGCCCTGGGGCAGACTGTGACACTGCCAATCTGCGCCATCGCTCCCTCCGACCACCAGCAAAACTCACACACAATGAGTGAAGTGCCTCGCTTAAGGACACAACAACAGTTTTTGGCACTGGCGCCCCACTGTGGCACCTAATTCGTCCAGTGGTCTTCCAAGTACTAACCCTGCTTAGTAATAATAAAAATAATAATGCATCAGTTTTATAAATCGCTTTTTTGGACACTCAAAGACACTTTACAGAGCATTATTCATTCACTCCACACTTGGTGGTGAACTACTGTTGTAGCCACAGCTGCCCGGGGGCAGACTGACGGAGGCAAGGCTGCCAATCTGCACCATCAGCCCCTCCGACCATCACCAGCACTCACACACACACCGCTTTCATACTAGGCAATGTAGGTGAAGTGTCTTGCCTAAGGACACAACGGCAGTTTTTGCGACTGGCGCCCACTGTGGCACCTGATTCTCCCAGTGTCTCCCATCCAAGTACTAACCAGGCCCGACTCTGCTTAGCTTCTGAGACCTGACGAGATCAGGCTTTTACAAGGAGGTTTGCTCAGGTTTGTCACCATGATAATCTTTTGTCTGGAATGTTCCACAACATGGCATTAAACATGTGTTGCATTATATTCAATTAGTGGTGTTCTTATTGGAAAGAAAAGAAAACATGCATTCACTTCTCCACAGATCAAACATGTAACTTGAAGACAAGCACATAAAAAGATTTATAGAACACCTTAAAATAAAAAATTAAAAAAAACAATAGACTGTAAAATTGGCGAACCTGGGGAGTTCTGGATCCCTCAAACCAGATTGGATCTGTCTTTCAAAATTAGTACCACAAAGCTTTACACCCCAGCGTGTTAAATATAAGGGAGCATCCATCTTGTAATAACATTCTAGGACTTCACACAGATCCACAAGTGGAGCCTCTGTCGGCATAATTACTCCAATCTCTCCGAAAAGTGACCGCTCTCCATCAAACTGTCCGCTCCAGCGCAGCGCCCGGCCCATTACCTCCTGAGTGGGTAAGATAAGCCCCTCGTCTGGGTCACCTCTCCTTCTCACCCACTCCCCTCTACCCTCTCTCTTCCTTCTCTCCCTGCTCAAACCAAACCAGCAGCCATTAGCGGCGCACTGTCCATTTACATTTAGATTGATAATTTGATGAGACCCGACAATGCCAGTGCAGAGTGGCGCGGTCTGGTTGGAAATACACTAAATTAAATAATCTTTTCCTCCTTCTCCTTACTCAAAGATTCATGAATATTCCATCAAGTCTACTGGTGATTTTTGTGTGTATGTCTATGCGCTTTTTGCGAGCCCCGCGACACAAAGGGACAGGAAATAAGGTAATCTGGCGTCCCCTGGCTTGTCCTGATTGGTCGGTAATAGTGAGCCCTGTGTTCCATAATAAACACATGCAGAGGAGATGTGCTGTGGCAGGACTCTGCATTGCTGAGCAGAGTTGTTTACCTTTGTTCAATTTAAACTACAATGTGCCATTTGCTCTTTGGGGATAAAGAGGATGAGAGCAGAGCGGGAGGAGCACAGCAAACACACATTACAATAACATAAGATAAAGTGATGATAGGATTTGATGAAAAGCTTTACTGTCTAAGCCAAATTCTATAATGGGATACATTATGTAAAACAGACTTTTATGAGCTTATTCTGCTTATTTTGGAAAGTGCCGTGGGCGCTTCCATCATCATTCAGGTTGCATTATTTTGTATAGGACTGCAGATTTTTACATCAGATAAGTTCTACACGGACTACAAACTTTGTGAACTCGTGATATAAATTTATATTGTGGAAAGATTTCTCTCAATCTGTCTTTGTGAATGAATGTGATTTCTACCCAAGACCAGACCCCCACTGGAAAATACTGATTCGATTGATTACATTAAAATAATGATTAGTATATCTTTTAGAAACATATTTGGTGTTATAACTAACTACCAAACCAAATGAGTTTTAAAGACAGTGTTAGAAAGACCCTTCAATGTAAACACTTCTGGTTATGGTGTTGTAGAAGTTTTCAGCTTGTCCAAGAAAGAATGGAAGTAAAAGGCTAGAGACAAACTGGACGTCTTAAGCAGGAGAGGTTTATTTACCATGAATAATACAGGCCCGAGAGAACTTGAAAAGTCAACACAGTATGATTTCAAAACTTCAAGCCCTTTTGACTCTGCTTCCAAAGGAGGAAGTTTATAAAGCAAGTGGTGAGACTATGAAGGCCAGGAGACACCGGTTAGACAACAATATGCCACAGTTTAGATAATGGTGCCACTTGTATGCCAAGGGAAGATCATGATGTAAAAATAGCTTTTGTGAGTCAATGTTAAACTGAGATGTACGTGGAAGATAAATTAATTAAATTCTCTTACATATGGATACAAATCAGATCAAGCACATCTGGCCACACCTCAGTAGGAGTCCTCACCTTCTCAGTTGGAAACATATGCCCTCTGGTTATCTCAGTCTATATAAACTTGGTGCTTTATAACATTCGGGAGGAAAATGTGGGAGGGACATACAGCTGGGGAGGAGAGGATGTTGGTCTGTGGTCAGGGCAGGCCCAGGCCCGGTCCATATCTGTTGTAACAAGAATAAACCTTTGTCTGTATTCCAAAAACTCATTGGGCTTTGCAAATGGATTAATTATTTATTCAGGGTATCCGCAGGTTTGAATAACCCAAATTTAAGAATTTTTAAGACCACTTAAATGAAAATTAAGACAAACACCACACCCATTATGTGGGTGAAAAACACCAGATCCAGTTCTAATAATGACCAACCAACTACCGGTGCTAAATCTAGAATCTGAGAGCCACTGTACACTTCCCCACGATCCATCCAACATCTTCATCCACTCTACTGATCGTTTACTCATTGCCTCCGGTGCCAGAAACCAAAGTATTGTTTGCACATACTCCAAATTAGATGGTCATTCACAAAATTTCATGTTTTTTTCCCTCCGTTTAACATTGCACTGCAGCCCGATTATACAAAAAAATAGGCTTTTTAAGGCCTTAATTTAGGAACATGAAATTTAAGAACTTTTTATAACTTTTAAGACCCCGCAACTGCCCTGTTATTATCAAGAGATATATCACTTCTTCCCATAACACTCACAAATACTGCAAGAAGTTGTCTTGCTGGCAAAGCTAGAGAAATGGTACATTGTTGATCAGCTCACTTTATATCACATTTTTTCTAAACATTTCTTAAATTTCCAATTTAAATGAATGGGGTTCCCACTTAATTGGTGGTTTAGCATCATTAGCTCACGTTTGTGCATTCTTTGAGTACTTAGACTACATTTATATGATGACGGTCTGAGCAGAAGATGCAAAAGTGGTGTTGTGTCTTTACTTTTTATTCTGCGTTTAGACGAGTGTTTTCGGGAGGAAATCTGCATGCATATGGTGACGCAAAAGTGTGTGGAACTGGATTGGGTATACTTGTACTTAAAGCAACTAGGGCATCTTTGGGCATACAGAAGTTTTCACGCCACACATTTTCATCAGATACTCCTTTCACAAAGTTGTCCCATCATCGACTGGTTCTCCCAGGTCTTGTCCATAGTTGTCTGGCTCGCCTGCGACGAACTGGTGCATCCAGAATATGACAGAGGTGCAGATCCTTCTCTGTTCACTAATAGTATCTCTACATATTCTGTACATTTGTTTGGATGCCTCCTGTAAGTTTATTTATTGAAGGTCCAATGCATGGAAATGATCCGACGTGTGTTTCTGTGTACTGTATGTATGTGACGTAAACGTGTACGTGACGTGAGCAGATCTAACCAGAATTTTGCGTCTTGGGCAGTGTAAACGGAAACACTACGGTGGAGCGTATTCAACTTTTGCACTCTATCAGATTTTTGAGTTTTTAAGCCCCAAAATGCCATCACCGCCTAAACAAAAGGCACTTCCCATAAAATATTTTGTCGTTTTTACCCGCAAGCGTTCTCATGTAAACGGGCCTTTAGAGAATGTCAAAAAATTCAAATTTCAGGTCATAGACGTAAGGTTAAAGAAATGTGAAGCTCCACAGTGTTTTATTCTAGAAGGTCACTTTAGATACTCTCAGTTGTGAGCTGAGATTATAGGCATTGAACATAATCGTGTATTTTCCACAGGCGCTGGTTATCACCCCGATAGAGAGCTCTCCAGACCCGCTGGCACTTTCCCTCGTATAAAGTCAGTGTTTATCTTTTTGCATTTTTATAAGATATAGTAAACCAGAGAATACTTCACAGCTCCCTCTGTGTTCAGTCATTCAGTTAAGTTATGCAACCCCCATTAAGCAACACTTACACTTGTACGGAGGCGCAGTCATCTACAGATCTACATATTGTCTAAGCAGTTTTGTCTGTCAGTCTTTTACAGCCAGCACCTGCATAACTAAACTTCGTAATACTTATGTGGGGAGTAATTAGTATGCAGGAGCGGCACTGGCACTGTTAGCGTGGGCAGGTAAATGGACTACGGAGAGTCCTAACAGCCAAAATTAATAGTCTGTTGTTTATATTGAGAACAGAGGGAGCTTGCATGATTAGAATTGCACTGTGGCATTGTACAACTAAAATAGGTTTCAGCTCGTAAGCCAGAGGAGTTAGCAGCGTTTATTTATTTATTTATTTACTGCTATGTAGATCTTGCTAATGAGAGCAGTTTTCTAACTTTGTTTGTACACGGTTTAATGAAGCACACATGCCTCTAGCTTTGCATGCGTCCACAATACAAATGGGGGACTTTATTAACCTTTAGTTTGTTTATGAGCTGGTGAACAGGTTTCTGCGCGTGGTGGGAGTAAAAGAATAATTGGACAAAATTGCTGATGTAGCTGCCTATAAAAGCAAGTAAAGCTGGGATTAATTGGCATGTTATTTATTCGGTGCGCTCTAGATATTCTGGTGCAGTATTCAACTCAAGAAATATATTGTTTCCTTATCGCAAACAAACCCAGACTTGTGCTTTGTTATACTCACCTGTGGTTATGACCTTAGCTGGAGAAGTAGTGCATTAGGAAGTCTTTGGTTGACCAAGCGGATCTACAAATTTTATTTCTTCTTAACTTCTCATTGGGATATTGATTTGTTTTCACTTCTAGTATCATATTTTTCTAATTTGTATTCAGTATGACAGGCTGTACAAATCTAATATTTAAAGGTTTATGAAAGCTGGCTCTATTTTCACAGCGTGATTTTTAAGAGTCCAAAATCATTATATCTACACTGTCAAGGGAAGCAACAAAAACTAAGTTATAATCATAGAATTAATGTCTCTGTAACTACTGCAGTGAGCCTTGTCAGTTTGGTCTTAAAATGTTCGTATCAACCCACTCTACATGATCCTGGTGTTTTTATTTCACTATTTACTAGGGATGTAACAATAAACGAAATATCGTGATATCGTATCGTCAAAGTTCTCACAATAATATCGTGGACCATCACAATATAGCGAATTACAAGTCACTTTGCTTAAATTAAGAGTAATGGTGCAGCAATAGCTGAAAAAAGACGAGGGAATTACACAAACCATGATCCTTTGCTCCATTTCAGTGTAGACTACAAGAAGAAATAACAGTTCTAAGCACTTTTAAGTCTTAGTTCTTTGGATTAAGTCTTGTTAAGTCATTTTAAGAGAAAAAAATAGCATATTAACAGTTTTGTTAGCCTCCACAAAATATCGCAATCATACCGTGAGATGTATATCGTCAAAATATTGCATAAATATCATAAGAGATTTGAATATTGTTGCATCCCTAATAGTGAGACTCGCCACCACATCGTGAGCTTTCCCACAAAATCGCAATAAATATCGTACCGTGAGGTTCATACCGTGACGATATTGTACCATGAGACTTCAATATCGTTACACCCCTACCATTTAGTATGTACATAAATTCATATTCCTAATATTGAACATTGCTTGAAATCCACCCGTACAACTGCTTAGTCAGGCAGGCGCCACCTAGTCCCTCCGCTCAATTTCATTTCTCTCCAGTGACTAGGTTAGGAATCGGAATACACTAGACAGCATCGGCCAATCAGTGAAGAGCTGAACCAGCCTGAGTTGCGATAGTAGACTGCATACGCTATCCTCCATTTTTTATTGCACCTTTAATTCTCAACTTCACCTCACAGAAACAACAACAATCACTGACAGACATGTTCACTCTCTGCTTTGTTTGCTGTTGTGCCGGCAGTTAATTGGACCCCACTGAGTGTTCTGGTGCATTACATACGTCACGACCAAATAGCAGCGATTGGTTAAATAAAAAAAGCACCTGCCTACCATCGAGTGAACGAATCCTAATGCTGCGAGGTCAGATGTGAAAGTGAAGTGAAACTGGCTGATGAATGAGGCTAACAACCGCAGCCTCAGTGAGCTTCATTTGACTGGAGCCGAACGCTATGACGTCACATTCCTTTAGTCCACTTCTTTATACAGACTATGGTTAAAACACAGACCATGTAAATATATAGAGGGTTACTGTCTTACCGATGCCCATCTCCACTGCAGTTTCCTTGTTCAGACGGCTGAGCTCAGGTCCGTCCATGTTGTTGGATTTGAAGATTCCGATCAGCTCCTCCAGCCCCTCCTCACACAGCCAGGCCTGCACGTCCTCCTCCGACCAATCAGAGAGCAGCGTCAGCCTGGAGTGAGCGGGTAACTTCCTGTCTGAGAAACAAAGGAAAAGTGTCATTGGATTGTCATTGTCTGCTAAAATATACACTTGATACATAAAATACAAGTTATTGCTGTGTAAAGTAAAGCCACAACAAAAACACCAAAAGAAAATGAATACATGCAAAACGTACATGTAAGCTGTAATTCATAAGAGAATCTATGGGGAAAATGTATATTAAATATTGCTGTAAAGAACAAAATAAGTAGCAAGTTAATTGGATTGATTCTTCAGTGGGTCAAAGTAGACCATGTCAGGTTTTTCTCAGGATCAGGTCAAGTCATCCGTAGAATGTGGCCTTTATTCAATATTTGAGTAATGATTACAATAGGCCAAGGAAAGCAGTCATAAATGTCAAGATGAAGAAATTAATTGGAAGTCGGAAATATTCAGGTCACAATATAATCGTAAGAACTAAAAATAAACAACAACTGTGTGCGTGTGTGTCTGTGCACAAAGTATTTTGTTTCTTTTGATTTATGTGAATAAAGATGGGGAATCTGCTCCCTGCTCATCTACATGTTATTGCTTTTCCTGAATATTCTACAGCAGGGGTCATCAAACTTAGGCCTGCGAGGTTGACTCCGGCCTTCCACGCCCCTTTGACCAGCCTCCAGCCCCTGTGCTCCTCCACCACTTGAACTGGCCCTATGAGACAATCCTCAAACTACTTTTTGACAAATAAAATTACATTGGCATCTTGTAGTTTGTTTATTTTTTCAATTAAAAATGTATATTAAGTATTTATACTTAAATAATTGTATTTACATTTGCCGCCGAATTTACAGCTGAATTTTTGTCACCTGACAAGCTCGAGATCAAACAGTGACAGTCAACGCACGCGCAAGTTCTGTAGTGCAGTTAAGGACAGCAAAATGGCAAGTGCTAAAGTACGAAAACTTGACCGAGAGTGCAGAGTTTTCAAAGAACAGTGGACAACCGATTATTTTTTTGTTCAGTCTAAGGACTGTGCAGTTTGTTTGATATGTAAAGAAAGTGTGGCAGTTTTTAAAGAATATAATCTGCGTCGTCAGGGTCATACAATTCTGTTTCACGGCCCTGACCCAGCCCCCATCACAGTCAGGAGCGATAATGTGGCCCCCAGAGAAAAAAGTTTGGTGACACCTGTTGTGCAGTCTGGCAATAAAAATCTCTATCTTGCATAAGGCAAGGAAAGTTTGTTTGTACAGCACAATTTGTACACAAAGTAATTCAAAGTCCTTTTACGGAATAAGAAAGACATCAAATGATCATAAAGATAGATATGTTGTCTCTGTCAAAAAATACCTTGAAAACACGCATTGTTAAAGTTTATGGGCTCGCCTCACCATAGATTTGACCTATAACTTGACCAGGTGGCTCCTTGGATATAGTTGAATGCCATCGTTTTTAGGCAAAACAACAAACAACAACATCTCCATGGAGACAAGACAAACCCTCTGCCAGAAATGTTACATAATCCACCTTTAATCACGCATTAGGAGGACCATGTGTTTGCTGATTTGAGAATGATCCTCTCCAGGCGGGCTCCTCTGTATTCTCCCCTGTCGCCCCAACATGACAGATGAGCCCGAGATCCGACTCCAGGACTGACCTCACGAATGCACACCCCCCCTCTCCTCCCCTCCCCTCCCGCCCCGTTCCCCTCCACCGCTCCCACTGTTTCCATAAACTGTTTACTCTCCACATATCTCAGGCCTTAGATGTACCACTGAGTAACCATCACGTAAACTCCAGCGAGCTCAATCTGATAAATATTTGCAAAGCTGCTCCGGTTGACCATGTGATTTCATTTGATACGTCTTTTATGTATCTTATCTCGGGATGGTGCATTACGTACACATTTGGAGAGGCAAATGGGAGGACTGATGGTGCAGGGAGTGTGCGAGCTAAAGAAACTTAGCGTGGCCCCAGCCCTCAAATGACCCAGAACAGGAAAAGAGAAATGGGATAGAGGATAAATGAGCGATGACACATCCACCATCTATTATAAACAATATTCTACCAAAGACCAAGACGACACTGCTTGAATTGTACGGATGAGTCTGTAACTGATGGCAAAAAAATATGTGCACTTTCTTGTATTAGTTTTTCAGTTCATATTTTGCTTCTTTGTTGGTCAATTTTTCTGGTTTAAAATGTGAACCTTGTACAGAATCAAACTATTAAAACATGAATAGCAAATCTACTCCATCCATCCATTTTCTTCCGCTTATCCGGGGTCGCGTCATGGGGGCAGCAGCCTAAGCAGGGACTCCCAGACTTCCTTCATTCTGAACACTTCCTCCAGCTGCTCCGGGGGGACTCCAAGGCATTTCCAGGCCAGCCGAGAGACACGTGTCCCTCCTCTTCCCTGGGGCCTCCTCCCAGTGGGACATACCTGGAACACCTCCTGAGGAAGGCGCTCAGGAGACATCCCCAGCAGATGCCCGAGTCACCTCAGCCGGCTCCTCTCGAAGTGGAGGAGCAGCGGCGCTACTCCGAGCTTCTCCCGTGTGCCTGAGCTTCTCATCCTATCTCTACGGGAGCGACCAGCCACCCTGCGGAGGAAGCAAATTTTGACCGCTTGTATCCACGATCTTGTCCTTTCGGTCATTACTCAAAGCTCATGACCAGAGGTGAGGGGAGGAACATGGATTGAGTAGTAAATTGAGAGCTTTGCCTTTCGGTTCAGCTCCCTCTTCACCACAACGGTTCGATACAGCAACCGCATCACTGCCGACGATGCACCGATCCGCCTGTCAATCCCACGCTCCATCCTCCCCTCAATCATGAACAAGACCCTGAGATACTTGAACTCTTCCACTTGAGGCAAGGACTCTCCACCCTCTCAAATCTACTCACAATTACATATTTTATACAAAGCGAACAGCCCAATTAAGAAAAAAAAAAAAAAGACTGCATTGACCAAACAACTAAAATACATGTTTTACTTTTCAAATTCCTTGAAAAACATGCATACTTATTTGAGCAGCTTGTTTATATTCCAAAATGACGTCACATCCTGATATGACAGAACGTTCCAATCAGAGGTCATGATAGACTTTTTTTGCCGGTCACATTGGCCAGGAGAGTTAAAAATTCCTGCCATTAATTACTGGCCATTCAACTGTGATTCAATGAAAATTATCTCCTGATATTTTAACAAAAACATGAGTGGTGACGCACGAGTAGACTCATATTAGACTACTTTAATCTGAAGTCGACATACAGTACTCAGTCACTGTCAGGTCCATTAAAATAATCTGCATTCTCGTCTGCACTTGTATGTACCATCAGAAGCTTTTGTCTTTCCCTTTTTAACTATACATCACTAATAGCACACAGAATCTTCACATACAGACGATGAAAGTAAAACACACAGTGGATATTCTATGTTTACATCGAGTTCAAACAAGCTGCTCAATAAAACATCTAAAAATCAACATCTCAATTTTAAAGCAACAAAGTGTAAACACGAAAACACAAGAAATCCATTAACAACTTTGAGTGAATATTATATACTGTATATTTGAGGAGTGAGGTAAACACGTGTTCCTAAAGCTTTTACGAGAAGTCAGTGCTTAGATTTTTGGTCATAAATATAAGATAGCTTAAAGATACACTATGTAACTTTGCTCGGGGAGGGTCCACCACCTGTTTGTCTCCACAGAGATGTTCATGTGACCCTACTAGGCCAAGTTGCAGGTCAGATCTGATTAACCAGGAGACGTGAATGAATAATGTAATGTGCTGAGTTTGTCTTAAACCTGCTATATAATAAAATCTAGTGCATTATTATGTGTATTATTTGGAGAGAGGGAGTGCAGTAACAGCCCCTCTGTGCAGCGTCAGACAGTCAAGTGAGAGTCTTTCAGTCTACAGGGCTGATTCATGGTAACAATGAGCCAACAGCAGAATCAGATTTACTACAAAAACGTGACATAGCAGCATTGTGTAACAAGGAGAATCTAGAGCAAGTCAGGCGGTCAAGCTGGTAACTATAAATGATTGGTTGATTAATCATGATACTTGATAATTTTAGTTCAAGTTCAATATTATTTTCCCTGGTTCTGCTACAGGCGCAGACACATGCCCAAGTGGTATAATGTATTTTTCTGTATTTATCTCTGTTTTTGTTGTAATGGCTAATTTGGGTTTTAGAGGTGAAATATTTTGTGTTAATTGGCTTGGGGGAAGAACCTTGGGGGGATAAAAGAGGCCCACTATCCCTCCCTCAGGGCCTGTCCACACGACAAAATTTTTTTAGGCGAAACAGTGTAGTTTGTATTCGTTTTTGGTCTTTCGTCCACGAGGAGCAGGTTTTTTGGGTGGGCGAAAACTGTATTTTTTGAGAAATCTAAGAACACCAGCATTGCATTGTTGTGTGGACAAGCAATCCACAGTGTTTGGAAAATGATGATGCCACGACCCCGTCATCGAAGGCTGCAGCCCTTGAACAAACCTCCGTGGGACACAAGCACGTCGCTCCCCGTTGCCCAGCAATCAAGACACGCTGCTAGTGCTAATGCTAAAAACACGCACCACACAGATTATGCACATGTAATTAAACTGTTGGATTTTGAGACCAAATTATTGTAATAATTCTCATCCAAATCTTATGGCTAAAAACAAAAACTTAAGTTTAACTTCTGCAAAACAAAATGGCTGTATTTCTGGGATACAGCTAAAATCAGATAAATTACTTTAAGTTTAAAAAAAGTGTGATGAGATATGCATTATTAAATATTATAATCATTGTTTACAGCACCACATACAGGTGTGGCATATGTATTACATCGTTTTCACTCAGTGCTCCGTTGTTGTCTGGAAGTGAATATTTATTGTTCCGACACGTGTGTGGAGGCAAATTTTGTTCAACTCACAAAAAAAAAAAAAAAGTCTCAATCAGTTTGGACATGGACTTGAACGTGGACGGTAACAACCTATAGATTATGAAGCATATTTCTGCTGTTGTATGTTCGGGAATGTTATTATTAATTAAACCAACAAAACACCCGTCTGACTACGCCATCATCATTACCCCGGACAATTTTGACAATGAGCAACATACTAGACTGCTATAATCTGGTATTGCAAATGATAAAATATGCATGAAGTATTAACACGTTCAGAAGGTATAGGTGAGATCACATTATGAAATCGCATCACACTGATCATAATCTCCTGACATTTGGCACCAACATGTGCACTGGTGACGCACGAGTAATTATTAAACTACTTTAATCTGAAGTCTACATACAGTACTCAGTCACTGTCAGGTCCATTAAACTACTTTGCACTTTCATCTGCACTTGTATGTACCGTCTTGTCCTAACCTGACTCCAAGAAGCTTTTGTCTTTCCCCTTTTAACTGTACATCACTAATAGCACACAGAATCTTCACATACAGATGATGAAAGTAAAACACACAGCAGATATCGGTCTGTTTACATCTTCTCAGTAAGACATCTGTAAATCAACATCTTCTCCATTTTGAAGCAACAATACCAATGTAAACACCAAAACACAAGAAATCCATTAACAACTTTCAGTGTATATTAAATATTGTGGATGTAACAATAACCAAAATTGTCAAAGTCTCACAATAATACCGTTGGTTGTCACAATATATCAAATTACAAAATCCTTGGCTTAAATTCATGGTTTTATAGTAGAAACAGCTAATAAACATTGGGAACTACATATCCCATGGTTCATTTCAGCGCAGACAACATGAATAAATATGTTTTTACTTGAATTCTTGGGATTTTGACAGAAATAATTTATGTCAAGATCTTGTCAGGGCATTTTAAAAGCAAAAAAGTGTCCTATCTATAATTATATCAGCCTCTCCAAAATATCGCAACAAATATCGTACCGTGAGATGCATATCATGATAATATCGTACAGAAAGATTTGGATATCGTTACATCCCTTTTAAATATATGATGCTTATTTGTGCATTTTTAGGATGATGGTGGACTTGGTAGACAACTGTGAGAGGTAGGGCTGAAAAATTGCAAATATCTAGTTGTTGTTTTTTTTTGTTTTTTTCAATTGTGATTTTAATTTGCAATGCTTGTAACTTAAGTGCATCCAGGAAAATTGACAAAAACACTGAAATATGAACTGTCAAACTAATGGGTGAGCCATTTATATGCAGAATAAGAATAAGGATATTTTGTTGTTTGTGGAGGAAATTATCACAGTTGGAAAAATTGTAACCTTTGAAATTTGCTAATTGCGTCCATTCAAATTGGAGTTTAATTATCCAAGGGCATTGTTTTAAAAATAAGTGCATGATAATGTGATAAAAACTTATTTGTAATGAGCTTGAGTTACCTTACCTTCACACACTGTTGGTTTGGATTCAGCTGCTGCAGAAAGACAGAAAGGAGAATTACATTAGCAGGTCAAAACTGAGAAAACTGAAAACCGTAAAGAAGAGGGCATATTTTATGAGCTTTTAACCTTGTTATAACAGTGTTCCGTCATCACTGAGTTTAGAAAATGTCTGTTTCACCTACCCCCTATCTCCGTCCCCATTCCTGTACTATAAAAATTCAGACTTTGGTTCTTACATGTAGGATTAAAAAAATGTCACATAGCTTTTCTTGTAATTGATGATCAACTACTTATTGCTTTGCTGTTAAAGGTCCCATATTACAAAAAAAAAAAAAAAATCATTCTTGTGAGCTTTAAGCCATGTTAGAATGCTATAATCTCATCAAAAACATACCAGGAGTTGTGTTTGAGTAACCCTTTATTATTAGTCTGTCTACAGCTCCAAAGGTCACAATGCTCTGTTCCACCTTGTGATGTCACAAAGCAGTAGTTTGCAAGTTAAGAGCTACCTTTTAGGGCCTGTTTACACGAGAACACTTGCGGGTAAAAACAACTAAATATTTTACCTTTCGTTTAGACAGTGACAGCCTTTTTGGGGTTTAAAAATGCAAAAATCTGAAACTACCCTCCAGAGTGGAAAAGTTAAATACGCTCCGCCGTAGCTTTTCCGTCTACACTGCCCAAGACGCAAAACTCTGGTCAGATCTGCTCACGCTGCGTATGCGTTTATGTCACATACATCGCCACCTAGCGTCACCACCTAGTCGCCTGGCATGCATACCCAATCAAATTCCACACACTTTTGCTTCACCGTATGCACGCAGATTTCCTCCTGAAAATGCTCGTCTAAACATGGAATAAAACACGACTCCACTTTTGCCTCTTCTGTTCAGACCCTCATCATATAAACGGAGCCTTAGCATTGCTGTTGTTTAGTAGAGATCGGCAATTCCAGGACTGAAATCATCCAAACGATTCTAGTGAAGGTGTATGGAGTTTAAAAAAACACAGTGGAGCAGTTTCTGTATTACCACATGACATCACGAGGTGGCAGTGCTTTCTGTGTGAGAGAAGAATTCTAACTAACTAAACTAAATATGCAGGGTTTGTCTGTTAATGAAACCATAACACAACCGTTTATATATTTTTAATGGGGAAACTACATTATAAGACAGATCAGAAAATAGCGTAATATGGGCCTTTAAATGTCACTATGAAGAGGTGGGAACTACAGGCTGTGCAGTTTCAAAGAGGAAGTCAGCTGACATGTTTCTATTATTAGGCCAATATTATGGTTGTATAATGATTTACAGATGATGAGTTTTTAGGCCTTCTTGAAGCAGAAAATATCATGTGAATTTAAAGATGCACTGTGTAACTTTTCTTACTGAGACTTACTTGTCTCTGTGAAAATCTGATTGTTTTGCCTGGAATGTTCCACAGCACTGCATTCAACTTGGCTATTTTGCACATATTCAATTGCAGGTGTTTTTATTGCTTAAATTACCATGAAAACAGATATTCTTAGGATACACTGAGATGCCTCTCCACAGATCTGACCTGTATCTTGGCCTAGTTTCATTTCTGCTTATCTTCTTGGACATAGATGAGGTTAATGCTTTACTATGGAACATTTCAGACAAAGCAATAACAGCTCCATGGTAGAGCTGAACAATCAATCGTTTTAGACCAAAAATCGCGATCTCAGACAACACAATTTGGGAGCTTCAAAGCCGCATTTTTTTGCAGTGCTCCTAAAGAACAATTTAAGGGCGAAGTTTAGTTCTGTGTCAGCTCAGTGGGTGCTGCCGCTGTCATCTTGTCGCTGTCCTTTTTGATTTATTAGTCTGCGTCGAAGTCTATGCTCCCCAAAGTAATTCACCACCATGTTAGGAGGCAAGGATTTAAACCTGGCGTTCACGTAAAGTTTGAAGTTTATGAACAATCTCCAACACAATAGAAGCACAGAACAGACTCACCATCATCAGCACATCCTCTGTCACACAAAGAACACTCATATTCCACTGAGTTGTGTCCTTTAGTCTGACAGAAACTGAACCGCATCAGCGCACAAGGAGCGAGCAGTTTTTCTGCACTTATAGTTTATACAAATTAGCCATGTGCTTTTAAGTTTTAATGCTGTAAAATATAAACAAATGTGTGCAAACAGTCCAGTGTCAAATCATCGGTGCAGGACGCTGGTATGATGTAAGTTTCTGTGATGTTTGCAAATGTTCATGTGCGCTAAAACTTGATTTGAAAATAATCGAGGATGAAATCAAAATCACAATATCTGCCAAAAAAAAAAAAATCGCAATTAAATATTTTCTTAAAACTGTTCAGCCCTACTCATTGGACACAAGAAAAGTTACACAATGCATTAAAAGGCAATGAAATTCACTACAAGGTTTATCTGATGGCAAAGATGCTCGCATATGTCTGAAAACTGCACCTTTTTCACAAACTATTCCAACTCCATTGCTTCATGTCTGGAGTCTGTTTTATAACAAGCCCTTGCATTGATAAAAGCACATCTCTGCTGCCGTACTCTGTCCTGCCAGTGAGCATCAGTCTCTATAGTGAGTCCAGACAGTGGGAGCGGGCTGCCCTGCACATGTAAGGAGCTGGACAAGGCCCAAAGCTCTCTTCAGGGAGGCATTGGAGCTGCAAAATGGCCCCTGGGCTTTGGAACTTTGCCAGTAGTTGTTTTAAAGAGAAGTGATGGTGCGTTTAAGGGCACTAGGAATTTTCTTGTTTGGGTCTGATTAACGGTGCATGGAACTACTACAGGCTTTCTTCTTTTTTTTTTTATTCACACAACGCTAAAGAATAACTGAAAAAATATAATAATCTTCTATTTAAAATATCTTAGGGGCTGAATACATTTAAGCTTAAGTTTAAATTGGTTTTCATTCATTTTTATTTTATACGTTGATCATTAGGGATGTAACAATAAAAGATCGTGATATTGTATCATCAAAAGTCTCACAATAATATCGTGAGCTGTCACAATATATCAAATCACAAGTTTCTTTGCTTAAATACATGGTTTTATAGTAGCAACAACTCATAAACTTCGAAAACTACACATCCCATGAAGAAATATGTTTTTTACTTGAATTCTTGGGATTATGACGATAATAACTCACACCAAAATCTTGTCAAGGTGTTTTAAAAGCAAAAAAGTGTCTTATCTACAATTATATTAGCATCTGGGTCCGGTCAAGTGGTAACGGAGGGAAACAGGGGTAGATTTTTGACATTCAAATAGCTCTTATTCAGAAACTAGAGGGACTATTGAAATAAGTAAAGTATCAGAATGTAGGAAAGAGTTACACTCCAACAGGGTAAAGTTAAACCTGTGATATTCTTTCAACTTGTTGACAAAAAATTAAAAAACTCATGTCAGTAACGGAGGGAATGAAATATGCAGCACTTTTTGGGCAATAAAAACAAACAGTGATAACTAGCGGTTCTCACTTACATATCCTTAACAAACTGGTTTGAATATTTGCTTCATATAGTTTTCTACCATATGGTACAAGATTAGGTTGAAAAACCTCTTACTTTTTGAGTAATGAGATTTTTTATTAAGAAAGGTCATGGTAACTGAGGGAAAAGTAACGGAGGGAAAATTGTTCAAGCAAGTAGAAGGTGCATGATTTTGTATAATTTGTCAGCTTTTTTCTTCCGAATACTTTAATATTACTTAAAAATGAAAGGAAACTAGCAAATTTTTATCATTTTCATCAATAAATATAAAAAATAAACAAACAAAAAAACAACTCATTCCACTGATCCTTTTCTATCATCTTTAACTTGTCTGTAGCTCTTAGCCAATCACCAGCAGCTAGTTTCACCTGAATGAAGTGATTCATATACATGCACTCTCTCCCCTCCATTATTATGCCATTTCAGGTACATGCTGTAATGTTTTTTCTGCAGCTCATTTTTTCTCATCCTCTTCATCTCCTCCACTTCGCCACCAGTTTTGTTTTAAGTTAATTGAAAGCACTCTGATCCTCTTTGATTAGTCTATGTCTGTATAAATATTTCAGTTTGATTTTGTTTTTTGTTTTTGTTGTAAACTTGATACTAGGGTTGTCCAAAGTATTGAGAATCAGATACTAATCAATGCCAAACAAGTACTGAAAGTAGATATTCATTTGAGCAGGTAACGATACTAAAAAAGTCACATTCTCAGGACAGAAATGAACCTTTCCTGAATAGTTTTAGAATGATCTTGAGCTGTATCAGAACAAGTATAAGAGCACATACGCCCATGGAGCAATGTGGAAAATACCCAGACGACTGAGCAATTACACTGATATAATGTCACATGGTAATATAAAAAAAGTACTATTATTTAATGCCCATCCATCCATTTTATTCCACTTATCTGGGACCGGGTCACAAGAACAGCACTCTAAGCAGGGACTCCTCGACTTCCTTCACGCCAGACACTTCCTACAGACCAAGGTGTTCCCAGGCCAGCCGAGAGACATATTCGAGCCACCTCAGCAGGCTCCTCTCGACGTGGAGGAGCAGCGGCTCTACTCCAAGCTCCTCAACGTATCTCTAAGGGAGCGCCAAGCCACCCTGCAGAGGAAAACTCATTTTGACCGTTTGTATCCGCGATCTTTTCCTTTCGGTCAGTACCCAGAGCTCATGACTAGACGTGAAGGTAGGAATGTAGATTGAGTGGTAAATCGAGAGCTTCTCCTTTCGTCTCAGCTCCTTCTTCACCACAACGGTTCGATATGATATTATTTAATGCTGAAAATCACATTCTATTGTCTAAAGAAAGAGAGTTTTTTATGATCATAGTGGTGTCGGACTTGGGAGTTTGAACTCTTAGTATCACAACAGCACTACCTGATACCAGCTGACACAGTAAAATAACCAAACTGGCTTGGTATCTCCTTTGGAAAGAAAACAAAGAGGTAGAATTGCAGGCTAAACAGTGGGTGCAGTCTCTCATATGACGTTATGATGACAGAATGTGGTGCGGGCAGCTGTGTGTAAATAAACATTAACTAAATTGGCAAAAGTGGCATGTTTTCACGGCAGATGTTTCAAAATGACTTCATTTGCATTTTTTCACCTTGGCTTCTGCTCCCATATTCATTAAGGCTCTGGGGCTAAATTAGCTTTGAGGGGATTTTGTACCAGTGGAAATTGCGAGCCACAGAACTCACGTAGTACGCAGTTAGCTTCTTTTTATGTGCACCATCACCCATGCAAATATATAATAGTCCTTTGTTTAAAGGTCCTATATTACGCAAAGTTGTCTCTTGTGAGCTTTTAACCACTTAATTATGTTGTTACCTCATCAAAAACAGACCTGGAGCTGTGTTTGTTTCATTTACACATGTTTGAGTAATCCTTTATTATTAGTCTGTCTACATCTCTAAAGCTCAAAATGCTCTGTTCCACCTTGTGATGTCACGAAGCAATAGTTTTCAAGTTAACAGTGATCTTTAACAAATTTCGCCCAGTAAAGATAGTCAATTCCACGGCTTAAATTATCCAAACGATTCTAGTGAAGACATGAAATCACAAACATACCTGGACTTGTGTTTTGTTTTAACATACACACCCTGCATATTTACAGGCTGAGTTCTTTTCTTTAACAGAAAACACTCTGTTCCCACCTTGTCATCAGGAAACAACCTTATAACATAGATCAGAAAACAGCATAATATGGGCCCTTTGTTCAATATGTTAGCTTTTAAAGAACAAAAAGTGCGTTCTGTGTAGTTACTCACTTGTTTTAAGCATTCGAGTGAAACTTGATTTTAATTAAAACTTGAATTAAAAAAGTTTTATCATGATTTGAGTAAATTTCACTTGACAAGTAAAATTATTTGCCAGTGGAAAACTTTTTGTACTTATAGTTTATTTATTTAATGAGACAGGGACAGTGCACCATCTACATTAACCTTAACAGTAGAGATGCATTGTACCAGGTTGTAGCATCAGTGCCAATTTCCAACCTGTAGTCCCTGGGCAGAATAATTGACTGATTGTATTTAACTGACCTTTAACTGTCAGGTATTCTTCCGGGAGACTTATGTAGCATGTTTTGGGTTGATGGGGGAAACTTGAGTACCCGGAGGTAACCCGTCCAGAAACAAACTCCACATGGAAAGACCCAGGCAACCCAGGGATCAAATCTGGAACCTTCTTGATGTGAGGAATAAGTGCTAGCCACTCAGCCACCATGCTGAGTAAAAATATAAAATATGAAAATACATTTTGCTACACTTAAAATCAGAAAAACAACAACTTTTTGCACTTAAAATAAGAAACAAAATTGAATGTTGCTTGAATTAAGAAAAACACACTCCTTCCATATGAGGGTTTCAGTCATGTGATCACGATGATGCACGAATTTCAGGTGGAGGGCAGGAAGTGAAGACAAACACGACAAACACAGCGATGGAGAATACAGATATGGCGAAGAGTTCTTATTAGAAGGATTTAGTAGCAAGGCAAAGATACGAGCAGTTAGTTGACAAATATATTGGATGTGACCCTATCTTATAAAAATTAGTGAATTTTTGACCGAAGTAAAAGATTTGCCGACAATCGAGGCAGAGAATATCACGAACTACCTAGTCGTCCAGACATCGTTCTACACCAGACAACAGATGAAGGCGTACAAAAGTTTGGAGGCAAATAACTTTTTTGTCAGTGGATGGGTCCACAACCTTGGTGCAAAACGCCTACGTGATGATTATCGTTTGGTCTTGGCCAGGGTGAGTGTTTCTCTTATTTTATGTGTATAGACCGTTATGGAAAAAAATGCAGTGTATCGGCAGTAACCTATCTATCCAAACTATTTAATGTCAACAAACGTCGTTAGCCGTTAGTCCTTAATGATTTGCGGATTCTGCTCCTCCCGACCGTAAACATAGGTTTGTAATCCACTTTTTACGTCGTTGTTCTGTCAGCTTTTTCCATTTCTGACCTTTGTGGACGACTATCTTCGGTACTCTAAAAAAACGTTTTTCCTTCTCTCGGTTACAACGATTGGCGCAGCCGTAAACTACACAACACACAGGCATTTTCCAGACAAAGACGCAACAGTGTTTCACTAGCTTCCTCCAGTCAGTTCACTTCCTGCCCTCCATCTGATTTTGCGCGCTGACAAACGGAGCCCTGTGACGTCACGTGAAACCCAGCAGGCAGATAATTTCATTTGTCAAGTTGAATCGACTCAAATAAAGTGAAATGTTCTTAATTTAAGTCACTTTAACTTACCTAGATATTCTTTTATTTCCAGTGTATTATTATTTTAGAAATAAAACAATTGTATTAAAGAACACATATTGTACTCGTGTCTGCTTTATAGTTTTAATCCATGACACCCGTGGATCATTTTGTTATATTATCGTCTTTTTAAATGTTGATCTAAAACAAGCTTAATAAAAGAAACGAGGCCGCTGAGCCAAATGGGAGCTGACGTTGTTGAAAACGTCATCACAACAAAGTGCCGCTCTACTGGACCATGCTGTTTGGAACTTTTACGGACAGTTACAGACGACGCTTGGCTGAATCCTACGTGCATCACCGGCTATGAAATCATAATTGGAGAATGAAGAAAGTTCAGAGCAGTGAGTGATAATAAGCGCTCTCAACCTTTCATTATGCCTAATAATGCGGAAATGAATTTTAGACTTATAAAGAAGAACTGTAAACAATATTATTTCATTACCCTTAACCAAATTATACTCCTTAACGACTGCTTCAGAGTTAATTTAAAATGTAATCAAACACTAGATATGGAAAAGTAAACACTAAAAGGCATTGCAGTAGCGGTGGGATGAGTACGGCTGAAAGGCTCAATCCTCTCTCCCAGCATTACCTACATTACTTTTGTTGTGTCCTCAGGCAAGACACTTCCATCACCTTGCCTGTAGATGTTGATTGTGTCATCGTGGTGCTCTGAAAATCGTTAAAGAGACTGTTTACAGTTTCTCTTCTAATGTTTTTGCACCTAAAGGACCCACATTAGGCTATTTTCTGATGTTTTAATATTGTTTCCTCATCACAAACACATCTGGAGTTGTGTTTTGTTTCATTCACACATGTTTAAACACACAAACCCTGCAGATTTAAGTTCACTTCTTCTCTCAAAAACAGGTTACACTCTCATACAGGAAGTGCTCCACTGTGTTTTTAAACTCCATACACCTTCACTAGAATCATTTGGATAATTTCAGCCACTGGAATTGCCAATCTCTACTGAACAAAAGGTAAAAAGTAGTTATTAACTTAAAAACTACCGCTTCATGACATCACAAAGTTGAACAGAGTATTTTGAGCCCAGAAGATGAGGACAGACCGGTCATAAAGGTCAGGAAAGGTTTGTGTAACATAAGAACTTTAAAAACAATTATTAGAACTGCCATCAGAAGAGGTGGGATCAAGTCGTTGTTTTGCAAGTCTCAAGTAAGTCTCAAGTCTTTGACCTCAAGTCCGAGTCAAGTCCCAAGTCAAATACAGGCAAATCCAAGACCAGCTGCTACGCAAAATCTTTTATTCCTTCTGCCATGAAGCTTTTAAATGGAGAGTAAATTTGCTACTGTGTCCCTGATGCACTGAGGTTTGAAGGTATGTATGTATGTATTTGTTTTTATTTTTATTACATTATTATTTATGGATTGCGCACGACCAGAGATGTGCGAACTGAGTTGCCTTTTGGAATTAATAAGGTTGTTTAATGATTAATTGAGTGATTGATTGACTAATTGATTGAAGTCGAGTCTCAAGTCACTGGCCCATAAGTCCAAGTCAAGTCCAAGTCGTCTGCTTTGACCTTCAAAGTCATTTCAAGTCTTTAAAACAAAAAAGTACCAAATATAGCTTAGATTTTTGCAATTTACATGAATTTTAAACTAAATTGTACTTAAAAAGTCATGGTAAATTTATATATGACTATTTATATTTATATAAGAGTTGTAGAAATGCAAATTTTCCTTTTTAAATGTTTTGACAAGATCTTAGTGTGAATTATTATGGTCAGAATAGAAAGAATTCAGATTTAAAAGTGCATGTAGTCTGCACTGAAATGGAAGGATCATGTTCTATGTAGTTCCCTCTGTTTTGTACTGTATATTACTGTAGTACATTTGAGGATACCACATCACAGTGCTTCAGTTACATCCAAAGTAACAAATAGAGAAGTTGACATGGTCCATTTATCAACTGTGAAGAGAAAAGTATTTTCTAAAAACATATATATATTTAGGAGAAGCATCAAGTTATCTCAAGTCCGAGTGAGGTCCCAAGTCACTGACCTTCAAGTTCAAGTCGAGTCCCAAGTCTTTGTCTATTTTATCAAATCAAATTCAAGTCCTAAAAGTAGTGACTCAAGTCTGACTCTAGTCCTACATCTAGGGACACAGTTATGAAATTTCAAAATCAAAATCTTACACACATTTTATACATAAGTGCAGATAGCAGAAAGAGTTTTTTAACCTTATTCCTCAATATTTACCCGCTGTGTCATCCCCATCTCCTATCCTCCACACTCTGACTGTCCGGTCCATGGAGCCCGTTGCCAGCAAAGGTTTTGTAGGAGACAAAGCCACAGCGGTAACATATCTAAACCAGAACAACCACACAGAATTACAAATGATATCAGCTTTAAAGATCGTGTATTACGGAAAATTTACTCGTTAAACCATGTTATAACATTGTTACGTCATCAAAAACATACCTGGAGTTGTGTTTTGTTTCATTCATACAAGTTTGAGTAAACCTTTATTATTAAGCCTTATTCACACGGGAGAAGTACAACCCGAGGACGTTTGGTAATTTGCAAATTACCGCCCCACATCTGTGTTACTTGCAGCACATTCACACGGGATCAGCAAAGTCCATAAATTACTCTATTTTACTAACATTGACTGAGATTGAAAGAGAAAATAACACAGAAAAAAAGAGAAAGAGACAGAAAAGGCACAATTACAACAACAAACACTGAGATGCAGATTCGCCGGACGTCCGTGTTTGGCGAAATATAGTAGATAATTTGCTGCAGAATTTTTACTTTACAAATTACAGACATGGTGCATTTACAGAGGATTAAGATCTCAGGCATCCTCCACAATTATTACAAATCACCAAAGGTCCACAGGTAAAACTAATCCCGTGCGAATAGGGCTTTAGTCTGTCTATATCCCCAAAGCGCAAAATACTTTGTTCCACCTTGTGATGTCACAAACAGGTAGTTTTCAAGTTAACAGCTACATTTTTTACCTTTGGTTCAGTAGAGAGACAATTACAGGGCTGAAATGATACAACTGATTCTAGTGAAGCTGAATGGAGTTTAAAAACACAGTGGAGCAATTTAATGGAAAAAACGGATAACGGTCGTTTCCTGTTTCCGTGACTTAAACTGCAATGCCGGACTTTTGCGCTGCATACGGACTAAACCAGGAATGAACCAGGACTAAAACAGGACTGAACCAGGACTGAACCAGGACTAAAACATGACTAAAACAACACTAAAACAAGACTAAAACAGGACTAAACCAGGACTGAACCAGGACTAAAACAAGACTAAAACAGGACTGAAACAGGACTAAAACAGGACTGAACCAGGACTAAAACAGGACTGAAACAGGACTGAACCAGAACTAAAACAGGACTGAACCAGGACTGAACCAGGACTAAAACATGACTAAAACAACACTAAAACAGGACTAAAACAGGACTAAACCAGGACTGAACCAGGACTAAAACAAGACTAAAACAGGACTGAAACAGGACTAAAACAGGACTAAACCAGGACTGAACCAGGACTAAAACAGGACTAAACAGGACTGAAACAGGACTGAACCAGGACAAAAACAGGACTGAACCAGGACTGAACCAGGACAAAAACAGGACTGAACCAGGACTAAAACAGGACTGAACCAGGACTAAAACAGGACTGAACCAGGACTAAAACAGGACTGAACCAGGACTGAACCAGGACTAAAACAAGACTAAAACAGGTCTAAACCAGACTGAACCAGGTCTGAGTATCGGGACCAGGACTAAGACTGAGACTGGGACTAAGACCGGGACCAGACCAGGACTGAGATCAGGACTGAGATCAGGATTCAGACCGGGACCAGACCAGGACTAAGAAAGGCTTAAGTCCTGGTTCAGTCCTAGTTTAAACCTGGTTTAGACCTGGTTTGGTCCTGGTATTTCAGTCCTGGTTCAGTCCGTATGCGGCGCAAACGTCCGGCATCACAGTTTAAGTCCTGAAACGGGAAACAGCCTTTATCCGTATTTTTCCATTATTCATTTAAACACAAAATCGAAAACTGAAAAAACAAATCATTATCCATTTTTTAATTTTGCTTTTGGAGACAAATAATTAAGAAAATGTTTGTTTTTTAGCTTTCTTATTTTTGGTTTTACTTTGAAAAATGAATAAACAAATGATACACGGATTCACTTCTTGTATTAGAATGAAGTTAGTAAAGAAGAAAAACTCTAAATATGTAGGATTTGTGCGATTAACATGTGTGAATGAAACAAAACACAACTCCCTGTATGTTTGTGATGAGAAAATAACTTTATAACATAGATGGGAAAATAGCGTAATATAATATAAGCCCTTTAAACTCCCCCTCATAAAGTCAAGACAGAAACGGCGTCTCAGAATCCTTCCAGACACTTCAAAGCACAGTGCCGCCTGCCTGTGATACCACTTCAGTCAGACGAAGAGAAAAAACTGTGTACCTCTACTGCTGTTACATCAGAGCCCCACAGCTACGGGGGGAAAAATAATCAGGCAAAAATCACATGTTTTGATCTGATCATTGATGTTTCTTTTAGCAGAGTTTGTGAAGAGGCTGTGTGGAGATTGCATAGCGGCAGGAGATTGGTCCATTTACCTGTCGTGCTGTTTCAGGGAGTACAGAAGAGACCCAAGGTTCTACGAAGGACAAAAAAGAGAAGAGAGAAAGTATTAGTTATCACAGGTTAAGGTTTTGTTGAGATAAAAAGATGAAAAAAATGTAAAAATAGCTCACCGTATCGTATATGGCAACAGTTTTGTTTACAGATCTATGTAGAAGAGAAAGAGTTATTTAACTGCAATGTGACTTTTATAATGGATCAATGTGCCAACTTTGTAATAATCTACATTCACTATGATTTGTTGGAACCCAAAAATGATTATAAAGTAATGTCTGTGTAATCCCTCAGTCATTCTGGTTGGATAAAGGAGCAAAGAAAAATTCAATTCTGTCAACCGGATAAAAGTTTTTTGATTGAAGATGTTTCACAACTCACTCAAACTGCTTCTTCGGTTCTGTTCTTCAGGACCAAAGAAGCAGTGGTTAAGGTTTAATCACTGTTGGGCAAGTTACTTTAAAACTGTAATGTGTTATTTATGACTTGTTACTGTCATTTCAAAGTAATTTCTTACAGTACAATATTACTGCATTTAAAATATAAGATATTTTGCCATTACTATTAAGTTACTCTCACCAAAATAACTGTGTGAAGATGCTGAACTTTTGCGCCGTATATGGACTGAACCAGGACTAAACCAGGACTAAACCAGATCTAAACCCGGTCTAAACCAGGTATATACCAGAACTGAACCAGGACTAAACCAGGGTTAAACCAGGTCTAAACCAGAACTAACCCAGGACTGAACCAGGACTGAACCAGAACTAAACCAGGACTAAACCAGGGTTAAACCAGGTCTAAACCAAAACTAACCCAGGACTGAACCAGGACTGAACCACAACTAAACCAGGACTAAACCAGATCTAAACCAGAACTAAACCAGAACTAACCCAGGACTGAACCAGGACTGAACCAGAACTAAACCAGGACTAAACCAGGTCTAAACCATGACTGAACCAGGACTAAACCAGAACTGACCCAGGACTGAACCAGGACTGAACCAGAACTAAACCAGGACTAAACCAGGTCTAAACCAGGACTGACCCAGGACTGAACCAGGACTAAACCAGAACTGACCCAGGACTGAACCAGGACTGAACCAGGACTGAACCAGAACTAAACCAGAACTAAGCCAGATCTAAACCAGATCTAAACCAGGTCTAAATCAGGACTGAACCAGGACTAAACCAGAACTGACCCAGGACTGAACCAGGACTAAACCAGAACTAATCTAGGTCTAAACCAGGACTGACCCAGGATTGACCCAGGACTAAACCAGGACCAAACCAGGACTAATCTTGGACTAGGACTTGGAATCTAAGACCGCCTCTGAGAGAACCCCAAGCCCGTGTCTGCAAAGCGAGATCGGGCATCAGCTGCGATTAGCTCCATGGAGCGCGGAGTTCTGCGCCGGTGTTTTCGCCCGCGGTTACCCGACGGTCTACAAGGGGGCACCTCCATTTCACCACTGCTTATATCGCGGTGATTTTAGCGAATTTGTATAAAGAAAAACAAAAAACCCACCACTTCAATCCAGGTTAAAAATGCATTGTGATTCACGTGTTACTAACATTTGTACCGACTAAAATATTACAATTTTTTTCCCCCTGTAATTCCTTACATTACTGGGTTACAGCAAAAAGCAATGCATTACAGAAATTCATTAATTTTATAACACGTTACTTCCAACACTGGATTTAATAGAAGGTTTAATGCTATACTGCGGCACATTCAAGGCGAGGCAATAACATTTTCATGGAGACAAGCAGGATATGTTGACCTTTCAAATCCTGGGTCCCAGACAAATATTGATGTTGACAGGTTGAGTTCGATTAATCTTGCACGTTTCTTTTCTTGATACAAACATTTTACGGATTCAGATTTACTTTGCAGCGGTTATATTATGTTTTCCCACTTAGACCAGGTAACTGAATGACAGATACTGCATATTCTTACCCAGACACAACGAGAGCTCCGTCCGAGGAGAAGGCACAGGACAGGACCGGGGCAGACTGGCCTGTGAGTGTGTGGAGCAGCTTCACGGAGTGCACTGTAATCAACGGCAAACAAATAAAGTGAAGTTAAAGTGAGTAAAAGTTGGAAGAACAGAACAGATGAGACCAAACTTTAGGATGTATCTTCCCCCGCTGTTCACATCTGTGCTTCCCACTGACAGCTGTCTGCACTCGTGTTTACAGTCACAGCTCAATAGGCATAGGCTGCATACAGTGTACAGACGGGCCAAAATAAACACTGCACTAACTCTGCACCTGAAGTTATATTTATGTGTGGGCAATCATAACAAAGTAATAATTTCTGTGAGTAACTTTAATGTACTGATTTCTAGTAGATAACCACACTACCGGTCAAACGTTTTAGAACACCCTAATTTTTCCAGTTATTTATTGCAGTTCAAGTCCAATGAAGAGCTTGAAATGGTACAAAGGTAAGAAATGAACAGCCAGAGGTAAAAAAAAATAAAAGATAAAGATAACAAAACGCAAGTCCAAGCTCTGCCAAAACTACCTCAAGAAAAAAAGAACAAGATGGTAAAGCTTGAAAACATCGAGCTGGTTTTGGGATGAACTGGACAGAAGAGTGAAAGTCAAGCAACCTTCAAGTGCCACACATTTATGGGAACTTCTGCAACAGACTTGGGAAGAACTTTCTGAAGAATATTTGATTTCTGGTGTAAAAAGAACGAGCCACGAGTGTGTTCAGCTGTTATATCTGCCAAAGGTGGACACTTTTATGAATCAAAAATGTAGATTTGGTCAACGCGTGGTGTTCTAAAACTTTTGACCGGTAGTGTATTTAACACTAATGGATTAACTGAGGTTCAGGAGCTGGACCACGCCTCAACCTTCTCTCCAGTCAACCACAGCATATCTCAACCACACCTTCAATTACCTAGAAACCCTATTTGTACGGTCTGTCCTGACAACACTAAACTAAACTGCCCTCCCACCAGTGCCTCTCGTACATTCTTCAGTCCAAAGACGTCATCTTCAAGGAGGAGGGGTTCAAATTCAGCTTTGGGTGACCGTTTTGGATTGGAGACAGAGCCCCCACCCTGAGTTTCTTCCCAACCACCACTAAACCAGGTCTAAACCAGGACTGAACCAGGTCTGCACCAGGACTAAACCAGGTCTAAAACAGGTCTAAACCAGGACTGAACCAGGTATAAACCAGAACTGAACCAGGTCTAAACCAGGTCTAAACCAGGACTAAACCAGGACTAAACCAGGACTAAAACCAGGTTTAAACCAGGACTAAAACCAGGTCTAAACCTGGTGTAAACCAGGTCTAAAACCAGGTCTAAACTAGGTCTAAACCAGGACTAAAACCAGGTTTAAGCCAGGACTAAAACCAGGTCTACTAAACCAGGTCTACACCAGGACTAAACCAGGACTAAACCAGGAACTAAACCAGGACTAAACCAGGTCTAAACCAGGACTAAACCAGGTCTAAACCAGGTCTAAACCAGGTCTAAACAACTTTTCCTCTTTAAACCATCAGGTAGCACAAAAGAGAATTTTTTTTACAAAACAGTTCCACGAGTTTCAAACAGTAACCCACAAAACCGCTCTTTCTATTCAACGTTCTTTATAAATATCTTTTATAAAACTCACACACACATCAGTCAGTATCCTTAATTTATTCATGTTTTTTTTTCGTTTGATTAAACTCCTCACGGACATTAGGAGGTTACCAGCAGAGACGCATCCTCCTCTTAAACATGTTCCCACGGCAACGTATCTAAGCAACTAACAACGCCGACTCTAGATGGATAATTAATTAAGATTTTCCTAATACAGCACACCGCTCCTGTAGTGCTGTGTAAGGCTTGTAGACTGTAGTAGATATAAATGTCAGTGGGATATATGCACCTGGTCCTGACTGCACTCCCGATCGTTGTATTTCAGAAGCATGTCTTAAAGTGATCCATTATTAATGACTGGGCCAGCTGCTGATTTATTCTGCTCACTAATAAAATTCTTCTATTCAGCTGAGAGATTTGAAGGTTAACACAACTGCATGCAGCCTCTCTCTGCTCCCTCTCTTCCCTCTCTGCTCCCTCCCTCCCCTTAGTCCCAACCGTCCTCTCTTTACTCCCGCTCCTCCATCTCTCCTCCTCTCTCCTCCCTCCCTGCTGCTTCTCTTCTCCTTCTCCACTCCTGCTTTGCTCCCTACTTCCTCTCTTCTCTCCTCTATTCCCTCTCTCCTCCTTCTCTGCTCCCTCTTTGCTCCCTCTCAGCCAGCAGTGTTTGGACGGGTCAGCAGGGGTCAGCGTACCTGTTCCTTCACGCTGAGAGACAATCCATATTTTCAGTTGGCTGTCCTGTCCGCAGGAGGCCAGTCGAAACTCCACGCAGCAGCCGTCTGTAAAGGGAAAACAGACTCTGTAGAAATCATGAGTTTGTGCATCACTGGGTTTAATAACACAGTGTTTACTCACTGAAATGTTTGCATTTAGAGGCAAAATGTGTTTAGAAATGACCGATTTTGTAAAAAAATAAATAAATAAATGCTCATGAATCAAGAGTTGTTGCATTATCATTTTGGAACTGTTTTCCAAATGCTTTTCCCAGCTAAACATTACATTTTTAAACAACATTTACAAATACCATCTCATTATAAATGAGCAAAACAGGAAGCCAAATAATAGAAAATACCAAAGGTGTTACATTAAGTGTGAGTTATTCATGTTATTAGATTAGATATAGTTTCATCTCTGGTGCTAAAATGCAATAAAAGTATAATATTGGTCCATGGAGAGCATATGGTTATGGCAGCTTTTAGAGTCCCGCCGCAAAACATTTCTACAACAAAATAGACTCTGTGATGTAAAACTCCACATAAACAACAGAAATCTGCAGATTAAATCCTATTGTGAAGAGATCTCAAACACGCACCAACTGTGAACTGTGGAGCAAAGCTGCAGCAGGTCACTCCCAGGTCATGAGCATCCTTCTGGACACACAGCGAGCTCCCGTCCACTCCCCACAGCTGGAGGCACCCCTGGGTACTCCCCATCACAAACATCTGAGAACACGGAGAGAAGCAGCAGGCCACCACACTGGCCTCACTCACAGCAAGACACCTGGAGATAAACATAACTACATGTCATATAAAAGTGTGTAGAGATGCTCTAGATGAGCAGAGGGGAGTAATGGGAGCACTGTATGTAAATACATTCATTCATCATTAAAATTACATGATCTCGTTAATCTCAATACTGCAGTTGTCATGTTTAAAGCACATAACAATCTGCTCTCTCGGTGTATCCTGGACATGTTCAAACCCAGAGAGAGTGAGTACAGTCTGAGAGGATCGGGCCTCTTTCAGAAAACTAACGTGAGGACCAGCCTGAAAAGTCGATGCGTCTCCATCAGAGGTGTTAATCTGTGGAACAGTCTGAATGAAACATTAAAAAGCTCTAAAACAATTTACACATTTAAAAAAATATACAAGACCAGAATTATAGAGAAATATCGAAAAATACAATAAATCTCTGTTTACCTTATGGAATTTACAGATTAACTGTAACCTTCAATTATATTAACATATTTAAGTCTATTTATTTAAAAAAATAGGTATAAATATTAACATGTACATGGTCAGTGTGTATGTGCGCGTGCTTGTGTATGAACATCGACGTATATTGTATTGGTTTGTGTTTTGTATTGTGTATGAGTAAACCAAAAGATTTAAGTACATATTCTTTCCTGCACTCATAAAAGATGAGTTTTGTGTTTTCTTTCTGTAAATAGTCCTGCCATCTTGTATCCTGTTCTATATGTTAACAGAGTTTGGCAAAACAAATGTTAAACTTCATCTTAAACCCCTTCGGTCTGTAGAATAACTATGGTGATATACATAAACTGCATATTTTTTTGTGTTAAATCATTGTAATATGATGTATGATTGTGTTAATTGACCGAAGAAACTAAATTAAATAATAAAGATTACACATAAGTTGATTTGTTGTTAGGTTACCTTAAAAAATATGGTTCTGTTTTGAAAAGTAGAGTTTGATTCCCCATCACCACAGATTAAAAATAAAAAAATAAAAAAAAATAAAAATACATGGATAAAAGTTAAATGCCATATTAATATTTTCGGCCAAGCATTAACACCTGAAGGAAAGCAGATGTACACTACCTTACTTTCCACCAGAAAAGTTACACAGTGTTTCTTTAATACATAAATTGGCCCAGTATTCTGTCTGTATGTATGTATATGCTTTTTGATGTTCATGCTTTGAATATTAGGCATCTAAATTTGCATTTTCCGAGTGAAACACCAGATGAAGTGTTGTTGACTTTCCTCCACAGAAAATAAAACTTTACCATCGCAGTGTTTTGCTGGAGAAATCCCAGAGCGCCGCGGTTCCGTCACTCGCTCCTCCGAGCACCAGGGACGAGTCTGGAGCCACTGCGCATGCGCGGAGCGGGCTGCGGGCCGGGTGCTCGAGCGCACACAGACGCTCACCTGTGCGCGCGCTCCACACCGCAATGGCGCCATCTGTGGAGCAGCTGAGCAGGTAGGAGCCGCAGGAGGTGAAGCAGCAGCAGTGCACCCCGTACCCGTGTCCGGACAGAGGCGAGTACGGCAGCTCAGAGAAGTCCGCGGCGCTGTAAACCCGGAGCGTCTTGTCCCCGGAGCAGGTGGCCAGGAGGGACGCGGAGAAAGCACAGCCGCTCACTTCGTCCGTGTGATGATCCAGAGTACACACAACAGACACCATCTTACACGAGTACAGAGGAGCAGAGGAGCAGGGCGCGGGGCAGACACACGGTGGCGCACTGCTGCTCGTGTAAAGTAGTGAAAAGATTGAAAAGTCTAAAGCAAGAGAAATGAACAAGAACACAAAACCATGCTTGGTCTTGGTCTGTTCCGGTCACATACAGAGTGAGCAGCTACTTCCTGTTTGAGCTCTTATCAGTTCATGTGACCGTGCATCACAACTTGGACACTGTGCAAAGTTCCCTCCGGCAACGATAATGAAGACTTACCATAAAACAGCATCAGATCATGACTTTTAAAAGAAAAACATAACCCACGGAAAATATGGAAAAATGTGTCCTTCAACCAGTGTTGGGGAGTAACGGATTACATGTACCAGAGTTATGTAATAAGAGTACTAATTATGAGTAACTGTATTCAGTTACTGTTTCAGTGATAATGGTAATTGGATTACAGTTACTTGGTTGAAATAAATGGATTAAACTGAGGTATTTTCTTGTTTTCACTTTTTTTTTTTCCTTTTTCGGTAATTCCACTCATTGCTGGACACTAAACCAGGTCTAAAACCAGGCCTAAACTAGGTCTAAACCAGAATTAAACCAGGACTAAAACCAGGTCTTAACCAGGACTGAACCAGGACTAAAACCAGATATAAACCAAGACTAAACCAGGAAAGAACCAGGACTAAACTGTCTCAAACAGGATTTAACAGAACTAAACCATGCTGCGTGGACACTGTGTCCTCTTCTTCTATCAATAATATTTTTAATTTGGTTGAGTAAAGTCTGAGCTTATTGTCTTTTAGCAGACAAAACATCTTATGTTGCTATCCTAGTCTTTGCCTCTCTACAGGAAATCAAGTAATCCAAAGTATTCAGATTATGTTACTCACTTTAAGTAATTTAATGGATTCCGTTACAAACTACATTTAGGGATATGTAATCTGTAATCTGTAGGGGAATACATTTTAAAAGTAACCTTCCCAACACTGCCTTCAACTGAAACTGAGTCAATGATTTCACATGGCTGATTATTAAACATTTATTCAAAGCACAGTGCATATGTAATAAACTGTACACTATACAAAATGTAAACTTTACAATCATTTCCTCAGGGTTATGATGTAACAAAGGACTGATAAGTTGTGAGCTGGAGTTTCCGTGACACTTGGAAAAACTGAGTAAAGTGAAAACACTGGACATACAGAACTAAATATTCACACGACTGACACAAATTGAGGCACTATATTTATATTGTGCTGAACGCAATATTCAACTCAACACATTTAGCTGCTACATTATTTTTCAAGGACTGCTGATACGTGACACATAAATAGAAAATGCGTGTAAACAAATCAAGGCATTTTATGTAGTAAAAATTGTAGACAAAGTTTACACAGTACGATAAGAGCACACTGATATTAGTACCAAGTTATTGCCCTTTCATTGCAGCAAATAATTCTGTAAATGTCTCTTTCACAGTTTTCTTGAGTCAGAAATCTTTTCACGACTTCAGTAATTCAGCCTTTCTTTTGGTGAAAAATCTTCTCATGATGTGTCCCGCTTTCCCAATTTCAGAATCGTCTTCGTTGAATCTCTCACAGTTGTCAAAGACGAGGTTCACGTCATCCGTAAAGCTCTCCAGACTTGAATACCTAAAACACAGCACATGTTCCACGTTCATTTCAACACCGGACGCCGTTATTTCCCCATCGAAACCACGTACTGCTGATTGGCGATCTTCTCTCTGATGGTGGAGAGGTCCATGGGCCTCTTCACCACCTTCTTGTATCCGGGGACAGACTTGAGGTTCACAGGTTTGAGGAACGGCCAGGCGTCTTGGTGGGCTTCCAACTCACACAACAGCTGCCTTTAAAATGATGAAATATGAGCATATAAAAGTGACGCCTGGAAATGTATCAAGTGTTTCACATCTGACAAAATGATCTAATATAAAAAATAAAAATGCCATCCCCCAACCACAGAGCTTACTTCTATTTTAAAAGGTGCACTGTGTAACTTTTCTGCCTGCTTGTCTCCATGACGATATTACAACTTTGTGGGAATTGCTCAACATTATGACATTAATATTATTCATCTTTATCTCTACGGAGACAAGCAGGTCAAGGTACAGTTCAGATCTGCGGAGGCAACACAGCTCCTAGTAAGAATGTGTGTATGTTTTTTACAGTATTTTTAAAGTAGACCAAACAACATTTTTACATTATTAAACATTGTAATCACTGTTGGGCAAAGTTACTTTAAAACTGTAATGTGTTATTTATGACTTGTTACTGTCATTTCAAAGTCACTCGTTACATTAAAATATTATTGTATTTAAAATGTAAGGCATTACATTACTGTTGTATTACTTTTAAGTTACTCTCACCAAAATAACTGCGAAGATGCTGAACTTTTGCGCCGTATATGGACTGAACCAGGACTAAACCAGAACTGAACCAGGACTAAACCAGAACTGAACCAGGACTAAACCAGGACTAAACCAGGACTGAACCAGGACTGAACCAGGACTAAACCAGGACTAAACCAGGACTAAACCAGGACTAAACCAGGACTGAACTAGGACTAAACCAGGTCTAAACCAGAGCTGAACCAGAGCTGAACAAGGACTGAACCAGGTCTAAACCAGAACTGAACCAGAACTAAACCAGAACTAAACCAGGACTAAACCAGGACTTCACCAGGACTTCACCAGGACTGAACCAGGACTGAACCAGGACTGAACCAGGACTAAACCAGGACTAAACCAGGACTGAACCAGGACTAACCCAGGACTGAACCAGAGCTGAACCAGAGCTGAACCAGGTTACAGTTAGCCCTGTGGAGTGCGGAGTTCTGTGCTGGTCCTTTCACCCATGGTCACCTGACGGTCTACGTCATTTCACCGCAGCTGATATCACGGTGATTTTAGCGAATTTGCATGAAGAAAAACTAAAAACCGACCACTTCAATCCAGGTTTAAAAAGTATTGTAACGCTTGTTACTGACATTTGTACTGAGTAAAATATAATTTTTTTTCCCCTGTAATTCATTACATTACTGCGTTACAGCATAAAGCAAAGCATAACCGTAATTCATTACTTTTATAATGCGTTACTCCCAACACTGGTTCTAAGTCCATGTGATGGTTAAATATGTATTTTTGGGGGTTACAAGCATCTCACGTCTCCACCTGTTGTCTCTCCAAAGAAAACTGGCCTTGCAAAAATGTCAACCAATGTCAACATCGACCCAAAGAGAATTCTACTGAGAAAACATGGCTCAGCGATATTTGTTTTTGTATGTGATTATACTACCTTCTTTCAGTGAAAACAGTAATGAAAAATAAATAAAAAAGGAAAACGTCTGTTCTGTGACTGTGTATTCTCACAATGGAGCTGCAGGGGGAGCGTTATCTCTACAGTTACTAAGTCAAACATTAAAAACTGCTGGAATTGAACATAAGATTTGTACGATACAGGGAACATTCCAGGCAACGCATTGAAACCCACCAGAAAAGTTGCACAGTGCTCCTTTAAACCATTCCATATCTAATTATAACTTACTGGCAAACTTCCAGCTCGTCAGTGCCTCTGTCTCTCGTTTTGGGCTTCTTGGAGACAGGGGGGTCACGTTTGGTCTCGGAGACGGGCGCAGCGCTGTCGGCTTTCCTTTTTTTCCCTTCCTTGATACTTTTCCTTGGCGCGGTGCTGCTCCTGCTGGCAGTCTCCTCTTTGATGAGCTCTCCGGACACAGATGGCTTACCGTTTGGTTTTCCTTCACTGGCCCTCTTCCCTCCTCCAGATGTTGGACTCGGATGCGTCTGTGTCCGTAGGGATTGGACACTTGGAATGACAAAACCCGAGGTAGTCTGCGGGCACACGCACAACTTTTAATTGGCAATTGGTAAAGTTTTAATTGATGATAATGGACAGGCTGGAATGTTATGGGGCACTGCTTTTAATCTTTAAATTGTTGATTTTCATTATTACTCTTGTTTGGTTTTCAGTTTCCTGTTATATGCAGAATTTTTAGGACATTTTCCCTAATTAAAAACATATTTTAAAAGGTCCTATATTAGGCAAAATTTAGTTTTTGTGATGTTTTAATGTTGTTACCTCCTCAAAAACAGACCTAGAGTTATGGGTTTGTCTGAATGGGCCAATGTTTGTTTTGTTTTTTTGGTGGTTATTGTGTTGTTTATTTTGTATATATGAAAAAATATTGTTATGATATCATTCTGAAACCCATGGATCAAAACTCTACCATTATGTTTTGTCAATTTGAGGAAAGTTTAGCTGTTACAATATAAAAGGAAACACATATTAAATTATTTGTACTTCATTCAGTTATTACTTAATATACTAGTGCAATGACCTACTCAGTTTTTGTTTCAATATAAGGGTGTTTTTCATACCTTATTTGAACACACACGGCAGAACCAGTCACCCTCTGGTATGGAGGTGATTTTGGGTTTGTGACAGTAAACATGGCAGCCTTTATCACAACCGTCACACAGCAGGAGAGACTCTTCATCATCTCCACTGTGGCAAATCTGGCACTCCTGAAAAACACAATGTACCTATATGTATCTATTGTACTTGAAATTATGAATTGTACAAGATTTGTATAAAAGCAGCAAACTCACCACTTTGGTAATAGACCGATCCCAGGAAATGTTGTTCTGCAGCTGCTGAATGCACAAGACCAGCTGAGCAGAGCTGTGGACCTCTGCCAGCGCCTTGTACCACTGTCTCCTCCAGGGGGCGTCCTCTTCCTCTTTCCTGTAGAGTGTCAAAGTCAAATACTAGATACAAATACTGCTGGCGTGACATAGATTTAGACCTAGAGACTCCGGAGTTGTAAACAAGACAAGTAATAATGCTGATTTCACTCTACTATATTTATATTAAGCTGCTATAAATGACGTGGAGATGGTTGAAATAAACAGCAGTGTAAAATACATGTTCACAGTGGCTGTCACTCACTGTGTGGGAAGAGATCCCTTACCTCCGCTCGATATTCCTCTCCAGCTCTTCCAGCCTGCTGACAGCTGTATCCAGAGGACTTTTGGGATGCTGGGCCGGAGACGAGGATGATTTGTGCTCATGGTGAACCTGATCCTCCCACTGGGACTGGGGCTTAGGGGGAGTCCAGTCCTGAAGGGGGCAGCAGAGAAAAAGAATAAAGTTTAAAGACACAATAACTTAGATCTTCAATGGAAGTGCAATACCAGCTTTTTCTCTTTCAGTTTGAGTCCAGATGGTTCCCAGACTGGAGTAATACATATATGTATGCATTCATATTTGCTGGGTATTTGAATTAACTACAGCCTTATATGACTTATGAAGGCTACAACACTGCATGTTATTCACAACAACTAGTAAAAGTGTTCATTAAAAAAACGTTCTATCCTTACAATAACTTGCATGCAAGCATATACGTACATAATATCAATTAGAAAAGCTGTACTGAAAGTTTCAGTACTGATGTGCACATCTCTAACATCTACAATGGAATGAAGAACTGAAAACACAAAACACCAGCACAAGTTTTATGTAATGGTGCTAATGTGAGTTACCTTTACTTGGAGACAGGCAGAAATGACTCTTGACTCCAAAGCCTGAACCTGTTTTAGTGCACTAATGTCCCACTTCATGGCCTGCTGCTGAACACACCACCGCTCAACCATCTCCTTACAACAGCCTTGTTTTTGGAGCCTCGTTACATCAATAACTGCATCTATAGAAGGAAACACACATGATGACATAAGCATTAACAAGTTAAAGCTTGGTATTTCACATAAGACAGAGGAGTTAAAGGAACTGTATGTAGCGTGCACTCTTCCTGGTTTAAAAAGTGAACCTGGGTAGTAGTCTGATTCATCAGGCAGTTTCACTTCATGGAAACCGTCTGACCTCTCAGCATTACGATTCATTCGCTCGAAGGTAGGTGGGTAATTTTTTTATTTAACGAATCACTGCTATTTGGTTGTGGCATATGTAATGCACCAAATCCCATAGGAAGAAGGGCAATAACGTCTTTCCCCTTGATAAAATTCAACAAACATTCTCTTTGTTCCGGCTTTAAATCCTCGATCTCGGGAATCGTTGCCAACACAGAATGTTTGGCTTCGCCTACATCCATCTCGACCGCTTTGTTTACTGTTCTGCTGTTCCACAAAAGGGATATAGACAGGCACTTGAGTCTGACATCATGGCTTCACAGCTCTTTATTGATTGGCCAGTGTGCGGTCTACAACTTCCGAAGTTCTTGCAAACCGTCAAGTGTATTCCGATTCCTGACCTAGTCACTAAAGAGAAATGAAATTGAGCAGAGGCACCAGGTGGAGTCAGCCTGGCTAGGTTGCCAGAGCCTTGACCTCCATGTTTTTTTTTTCTCATTCTCAGTATGGATATTTCGATTACTTAGACTAGATTATCTGTAAACTTGAGAAAAAATAAAAGCTCCTGCTTTTATTTATTATTCTAACAATAAACAGTTATAAGTGACCTTGTATCTGGGGAGACCATAGATAGTTTACTTTTCTTTACTTTAAGGGACAACGTACAGAGACATTAGGTTCATAAAAATAGAGATGTTTTTCACCAGATTACAGTTAAATAGCTAGATGAACACTTACCATCTTTATGGCTGTAGATCTGGGTCAGGTACTCCATGTGCTTCTCTGTCTGTTTGGCTAAAGCCCTCTCTCTGACGCCTCTACAATGAAGAGCCTTGCACAGATGATTCAGCTCCTCCACATTTGACATCCACCACCAGCCACTCAGCATCTCTGCCAACGAAGACACACTCAACCGTCATGTATTTGCAACCAAGTTTTTAGACTGAGTGACAGTTGTCAGTTCGCGGGCTGTCTGGAGTAGAATATGTGTTGTCCATTTAATGCCCTGGCAGTGTGGTTCTTACCCTTGGGGACAGGCGTGGGGTTGGAGTGGTCCTGGTGGGGTGCCATTTCCACAGCAGGGGGGGAGGAGGAGGGCGCGTGGGGCTGGGTGTCGCTGACGGAGCGGTGACTTGTCTGGAGGGGGGCGGTGTTCACATGGCCCGGTGCATGCTGGGAGGTCGGGTCCCTCGCGGGGGGTCCGGAGCTGCCAGCGAAGGGCAGGACTGAACTCGTCAATTCACTGGACACGTCACACAATATCTCTCCGCCGTGATGAGTGCCAGACTGAGCATGCTGAGGGTACAAATGCATACATGCTCTTCTAGAAGTTTTTTAAAGGGCCCATATTAGACTGTTTTCTGACTTATAATATAATACTGTTTCCTAATCAAAACCTGCAGGATTTGTGTGTTAAACATGTGTGAATGAAACAAAACATAACTCCAGGTCTACTACCCTACAAAGGCAAAAGACCTTAACTCGCCAGATTGTGAAATTGTGAAAAATGACTTCAAAATTTCTTTTTTGTCCAGACAAAAGTATAATAATAGGTAGGGCTCCCAAAATTTTACCACTAGTTGCTATGATGAAGAAATATTTGAATGCGATAAATATTGAGCTCAAAACCCTTTGACCCTTATTTGTGTGTTCCTCTGTCTTTGTATCATGAGCCAAAAATAAAAAGTCATGCAAAGGCAAAAGGCAGAAACTGACACGATCATTATTTGCTTGATTTTCACCAGATTTTCATTATAAGAAAAACACCTCATCAAGGTCAAGTCATCATGGTGTTTGTTTTAAATTATACAGAAGATCTTTGAGTTTTTATTTAATGCTGATCAGGATCGTGCGGTGACACTTACACAGTTAAACAGTTTAACTTTCACATTAAAGATCATTTAAGTATAACTGAATACAAAGGTATATTTATTTAATGTGTTAAGACCCTGTGCCAAGGCCGCAACAAAAAGGAGGCAAGCAGTTGGATTTTAAAATAAAATATATTTATGAACTAAATCACAAACAAAACAGACACTGTTATAGTCTTTTGCCTTTGCACAACTCCTTATTTTTGGCTCATGATACAAAGGCAGAGCACAGGAACTGCCAAATAAGAGTCAAAGGTCAAATTTGAGCTCAATATTTTTCACAATATTTATTCACATGATAAAAGAAATCTCAAATACCCTCAAAATGACATGAACTCATTTTTGACCAAACACGATGTTACGGTGTTCTGCCTTGAGAGGGTCTTTTCTCCAACAGAAACACTCTGTTCCACCTTGAGATGTCGTGCTTATACAAAAAGTGCTCCACTGTGCTTTTAAATGCCATACACCTTCACTAAAATCATCTGGATAATTTCAGCCCTGGAATTTCCATTTCTACTAAACAAAATGTACAAAGCAGCTGTTAACTTAAAAACTAGCCCTACATGACATCACAAGGTGGAACAGAGCATTTTCAGATTTGGAGATGTAGACAGACTGATAATTCAGGATTACTTAAACATGTGTGAATGAAACGAAACAACTTCAGGCATGTTTTTGATAAGGTGTCAGAGACTGTAACTATTCTACTAGTGTTGTTAATGCATTATTTTTTGCAATTTTCATGCAAACTACTACATTTAGTCAAAACAATATAAAACTCAAGTTCTGCTGCCTCCAGTGGCCACTACAGTTTCACATGCCTCTGCCTTGACTAAACCCCACTGGAAAACATTTGATTTACAGTAAAACTGAATCCAACCAACCTGCTGCATGTTTCCATCTTCAGTTGGACCACAGAGAGTAGAAGAGCGAGCTGAAAACATTTGTGAAGGGGATGAAGAAGAGACTGAACTCGTGTGGACACTGGGCTTTTCACATGGAGGAGGCAGATGGCGGATCCACTGGTTCACAAACACACTACTGTCATGATGCGGAGGCACAGAGGCTCTTGTCCAGGAATTGTTTTTGTACTTGAGGCTGGAACAATGAGTAGAATCCAGTGGAGATTTATCAGGTGTAGTGTTCATGGGCTCTCTTCGGTTCGTGTGAATACTGATGTGCGGATCTGTGGCTGCTGTGGTCTCTCTGTTGACCTCCTCGTCTTTTAAAAGCGTCTCAATTCGAGGGCCGTATCTTTTCTCGTTCAGAACGTCTTCGTGATCTGGACAGATTAAACAACACGAGTACAATGGATGAAAGAGGGATTATATCAGCACTCAATACTGCTGCACTGTAAAATAAAGAAAGATTGTGTATCTTTTCTGTTGAAGGGTTTGTCACCTCCTTGTTTCTATGGAGATGTCACTGCTCTGCCTGGAATATTCCACAGTATGACATTAAACAGCTCTACCTTACATTTATTCATTATGTAACTTGGTCTGGTTTGGTTTAACCCCACACTGTGTAACATACCAGATAAAGCATAAAATATCTGACGTAACCTCCACCGGGTTAGGGGTTAGGGTTTGTCAGACATAGCTTTAAAGTATGTCTGACAAAAAAAGTTATTGACAAACTCAAATTCACAGAGGGTCAATATTAAAAACTGTTATAAAGTTGTGGGCCAAACTAAATATTTACTGAAAAATTTCAACAACATCTGCATGTTTTCTCTTCTTTCGAGATATGTAATGTTAAACCTTTTCTTATTAAAATAAATGTTTAATAATAATTTTGCTTAAACATTGAATCTAGAACAAGCAGAATTTAAAATAATAACAACATTTTAAGTAAATAATGTCTCTATAGTCTATCTGTAGCCGGCGGGCGAGCTCTAATACATATTCTATACGATATCGCGGGCCAAATTTGGCCCCCAGGCCTGAGTCTGACATGTCTGATTTAGTTGTTTCCGTGGAAATAGAAAGTTAAAGCTCTACTTCAGAACATTCTCCATGAAGATAGATGTTTTATACTGTGGAAGATTATATGTAGACCCTCCTCCAGGTGCTCACAGTAAGGGCACATGTAATAAAAACATCCATAATGAAAACAATAAAACAAAACATGTTTTTATTTTAGTCTCTTATAGTCTGTAAAGTTAGCCCCAGTATGCAAATAAAGTTGCATACTGTGGCTTTAAACCCAGAAAAGAGTACAAACCTTGCTCAGTTTCCATCCCCTCCACAAAGACACCTCCACACTCGGGGAGAAGCCAGTAGGACCTCTTGTAGCGGTCCTGTCCCAGCATCATGGAGCGCAGTGAATACGACGACTCCAGGAGCTTCTGTCGGACTTCAGTCTGTTGCTAAAACATTAAAAACATGCACATTACAAAGTGCACTGACAAATATTGTACAACACACTGGGCTGTTGACTTACCTTAGCCACTCTCGCTATGTCTTTCTCCAGCTCCTCCACACTGCCAGAATGTACACTGTCATCCTGCTACGGTTGTCAAAGTATTGAAAATCAGATACTAATCCATACTAAATTAATGCTGAAAATAACATTCTATTGTCTAAAGAAAGTGTTTTATTAGAATCTGTATTGAGTATCGAGTCTATTCCTTAGTATCGAAATCAAGTTTAAATTCTAGTTTTGCAACACTATATTTTGCTTGAAAACCAAAAACTGTATGACTTAAGACAATGAATCAACAAACACAAATGTAAACTGGTGCTGCTGACCTCCTCTTCCGTTCTCTTAGCTTTCTTCCCCTCCTCCTCTTCAGCCTCCTCATCCTCCTCGTCATCACTCTCCTCCTCTTCATCCTCATCTTCCTCGCTCTCCCCCTCTTTTCTTTTCCTCTTGTTCGTAGCTGCGAGGTTATCACAGTTCTGCGTGCCCTCTGCCGCTTTAGTGCCAGTCTTCTTGGCGTGAATCCTCCTCAGTCTGCCAAGTTGAAATGATTATAATGTAGTGTGATAAAAATCAACCATCGGTATATTTCTGTTTTATTAGATTTTTTTGTGTGACTGGCTCGGTAAAAGAAACACTCACTTGCGAAGCGCTCCCTCCACAATCCACTTCTCCTTCCTCAAATTGGCCATGTGATCAATGGTTTTATCAATTTCACTGAAAAAAAACCCACAAAGAAATGCTAAAAGAAGGGGTATTTTTTACTTCTATGGACGCATTTAGATCACAAAGCAATTTTATAGCTTTGAAAATGCTATATTCACCAAAAAAACAACATGTATAATAAGTTTCAGTTTTGATTTCGATGCTCTGAGTCCTCCCTCCCCTTGCTCCACACACTCCCCCTTCAGAGCGATATCACAACAACCCAATCGACTTGCATTTAACTAATAAAACTACTACACATCGCATTACACTTTTACATTAAGCAGTACTTTTTACGGGTGTAACAATAACCAAAATATCATGATATTGTATCGTCAGAGTTTTCACAATAATATCGTGGACCATCACAGTATATCGAATTACAAATCTCTTTGCTTAAATTAAGAGTTATGGTGCAGCAATAGCTAAAAAAAAAAAAAAAAAAAGACAGAGGGAACTACATAGACCATGATCCTTTGCTCCATTTCAGTGCAGGCTACAAGAAGAAATAACAGTTCTAAGCAATTTTAAGTCTCAGTTCTTTGGATTAATTCTTGAGAGCAAAAAGTAACATATTCACAGTTAGCCTCAACAAAATATCACAATGAATATCGTACCGTGAGATGTATATAGTGAAAATATTGTACAGAGAATTTTGGATATTGTTACATCCCTGATCGTGAGTTTCCCCACAATATTGCAATAAATATCGTACCGTGAGGTTCATACCTGACTCTTGGATATCGTTAAACTCCAGGTACTTTTTACTGAAACTATTTGATAATCTGTCTTTTTAAAATATTTAGTGTGTCCTAGTGAGGCTCTAAGCATGAATAAAGGTCTGGGGCTCATTCTAACCCGTTGTAAATGCACATCCGGCCCTCGTCTTCATCTGCGTTTTGGTATGTGGTCCTTGATGAAAAAAAATTTAGACATCCCCATTGTAGTGCATTGTATTGTATTGTTTCATGCTTTTGTTGGCATTGAATATTGTGATTGACTGCTAACCATTCAAGCACTGCATTCTAATAACAAGAACGCACTTAGATGTGATTGTGAAGCATGAACCAGAACAGAGGGAGCCTTTACATTACGCTGCAATGGACACCAGATGTCTTTCCAAACCAGGCCAGCGCTGCTAAAAATTAATGAGTCCTGGATTGATGCAACCACATGAAACTGTCCATCAGTTCACAGCCATCTCATTCTTTTGATTTTAAGGTCGTAAAAGCTCAAGGCCCAGTGTACGGTAAATCAAAATGTTAGTCTGTGTGAGTGGCAGAATTACAACAGTAGTATTATTTTACTACGGAACAAGGGCAGGAATATTAAAGTAATGTTAACTGAGCAGTGGGATAGATTTTGTTAACTGTTCTTTTTTTTTTTGTTCTGTCTTATTAAAATAAAAAAATACAAATGAAAAAGGCCTGTATTACGCTATTTTCTGATCTATGTTATAATGTTGTTTCCTTATCACAGACATGCCTGAAGTTGTGTTTTGTTTCATTCACACATGTTTAACACACATGCATATTTATGTTCTTAGGTTTAGGGCTCTTCTCTCAAACAGAAAACACCATGTTCTACTTAGGCTACGTTTATATGATGACGGTCTGAACAAAAGATGCAAAATTGGCGTTGCGTCTTCACTTTTTATTCCGAGTTTAGGCGAGCATTTATCGGGAGGAAATCTGCGTGCATACGGTGATGCAAAAGTGTGTGGAATTCGATTGGGTATGCATACCAAACGGCATTCACAAGGGGATCTGTGGACATATGGCAGCTTTCACGCCAAACATTTTCATCAGCTACTACTTCCACAGAGTTGTCCCACCATCGACTGGCTCTCCAGGTCTCGTCCATCGCCGTCTGGTTCGCCTGCGATGAACTGGTGCATCCAGAATTTGACAGAGGTAATTGCAGATCCTTCTCTGCTCGCCAATAGTATATCTGCAGATTTTGTACATTTGTTGGGATGCCTCCTGTAAGTTTATTAGAGATGCCAGAGCAGCTTGAAGGTCCAACGCATGAAAATTATTCAACATGTTTGTTTCTGTGTACTGTATGAATGTGACATAAACGCGTACGTGACGTGAGCAGATCTGACCAGAGTTTTGCGTCTTGGGCAGTGTAGACGGAAATGCTACGGCATAATGTATTCAACTTTTCCACTCTAGAGGGTGTTTTTTTGCGTTTTTAAGCCCCCAAAACGCCATCACTGTCTAAACGAAAGACACTTCCGATAACTTCTCGTGTAAACAGGTGATGTCATGTGGCAAAACAGGAAGTGCTCCACTGTGTTTTTAAACTCCAAACAGCTTTACTAGAATCATTTTTAATGGAACTGCCAAACTCTACTGAACTGTCATGAAACTACTGTGACATCACAAAGTGGAACAGAGAATTTTGAGCTTTGGACATGTATGAATAAACTAGTATTACTCAAACATGTGTGACTGAAACCAAAACACAACTCCAGGTCTGTTTTTGAGGAGGTAACAACATTATAAACATGACTTAAAGCCCACAAGAGTCAACTTAGTGTAATATAAGGCTTAACATAAATAAATAAATAAATAAATAAGAATCTATAAAACCTTGTGTACCTGACCACAGCTTTACAGCAGCAGAGCCTGTTCACCAAAAATGCCAGTATGGAGGCCTTCTGTGACGGCTGGAGGGCCCTGAAGTCTTTAGTCTTAAGACTGAGGGCCAGAGAGCTCATGTAAGAATCTGGATCACAGTGATTTTCCATGTAGATCCTCAGAGCCTCAGAAACGTTGTCACTGTCCAACTTCATGTTTGACAGAAGCTCTCCTAAGGCAGTTTTCATCTAAAAGAAGGTTAATAAAATAGACGTCAATCAAAGATACGTAATTAAACTTGTTATAAAAATAGTAGAGATCGACCAGTATGGGGTTTTTCATGGCCAAAGCTTATACCAGTACTTCAAAACTCAGAGCAGGCGATGGCCGACAAGCTTTGCCAATATTTTTTGTGCCAATTTGTGGGGCAGATTTTGGTCATTCTCCTGAATATACAAGTTAAAATTACAACAAATTCAGTTCATGTCTAAGTAAGTAAAAAGTAAAAGTAAGTAAGTAAAAAGTAGAAAAAGAAGGCACTCTAACTTTTCTGGTGGAGGGACTGTCAACTGCTTTTCTGCATGGAGAGGTTGCCTGGAATATTCCACAGTATGGCATTACACTTCTCTATGTCCATGGAGACACCAGTTGATGCCACAGTGTAAACTACATGCCAGATCTGTGGAGAGGCGAGTCCACGGATAGTAAGAATGCAAGTTTTCAGGTCAATAAAAACCCATTTGATGAAGCACAATGGATATATTAATGGATATAATAACAGTTGATAATCAAAGTCAGTTAAATACAATCAATCAATGAACCTGCCCAGGGACTACAGGTGGAAATTAGCACTGATGCTACAACCTGATGTACAATGCATCTCTCCTGTTAAGGTAAATGCAAAAATTGTGCACTGTCCCTGTCTCAAATAAATAAATAAATAAATATTTAATGCAGGAGTCATCAAACTAAGGCCTGCGGGCTGACTCCGGCTCTCCACGCCCCTTGGACCGGCCCCCAGCCCCTCTGTCCCCCCACCACTTGAACTGGCCCATGAGGCAATCCTCAAAAGTTGTCATGGCCTATTTTTTTTTTAATTACTTTTTGGCAAGTAATAACACGTCTGCATCTTGTATTTTGGTGATTTTCAATTAAAAAGGGATATTTATATGAAGTATTTATATTTCTATTTAAATTATTGTATGACTTATTTACATTTGCTGCCCAATTTCCGTCACCTGAAAAGCTCAGAGTTCTGTAGTGTAGTTAAGGACAGCAAAATGGCATTAAAGTACGAAAACTTGACAGTGCCGAGTTTTCAAAGAACAATCGACGACCGATTATTTTTTGTGCTGTCTTAGGACCATGGAGTTTGTCTGATATGTAAAGAAAGTGTGGCAATTTTCAGAGAATATAATCTGTGTCGTCAGGGTCATGCAATTCTGTTAAACGACCGACCCGACCCCGGCCCCCCATCACAGTCAGGAGCGATAATGTGGCTCCCAGAGAAACAAGTTTGGTGACCCCTGGTTTAATGCATTATAAAAACATTCCAGGCAAACCAATAACTGAGACAAAAAGGTGGCACCAGATCCTCCACCAGAAAAGTTACACAGTGCTCCTTTAAGGCCGATATGCCAAAAGTGTAAATATTGGCATGCTATATCGCTCAGTCTCTAGTAAATGTGTATACCTTGTGTGTGTGAGACAGACTGGGGTCCCTCACAGCAGCAGAGACCATGTGCACCACAAGCTCCTGCACTTTGTCCACACAGTCCGTCAGGTTCAGTAATCCTCCCTGAAGATCGCTCAGGCTCAGTGGGTTTAGACTCAGAACTTTCCCAAATCTGTGCACGAACTGTAGCACCATGAGGCAGTCTGAGAACGCTCCCCCAGACAGAACCAGGCCGGGAACACGGGACAGATCTGGAAGAGGCTGGGGAAAGGAATACAGATTTCAGTGCCAAGTACTTTATCTATACTGTTTACTTTATGATGAATATGACGTAAAATGCTTTCTTACACAATTTTCCCGCTTACAATAGAATTAGAGTGATAATTATACCTAATTAAAGGTTCTATATTACACGAATTTGACTCTGGTGAGCTTTAAGCCATGTTATAATGTTGCTACCTCTTCAAAAACATGCCTAGATTTGTGTTTTGTTTCATTCACACCTTTTATTATTAGTCTGACGAGATGTCCAAAGCTCAAAATGCTCTGTTCCACCTTGTGATGTCATGTAGAGGTAGATTTCATGTTAACAGCTCCTTTTATCTTTAGCTCAGTAGAGATGAGCAATTCCTAAAATTATCCAAATTTTTCTAGTGGAACAATTCCTGTATTACCACATGACATCACAAGGTGGAACAGAGAAACAAAACCCAACTCCATGTTTGTGGTGAGGAAACAACAATGTAAAATACATCAGAAAATAGCGTAATACTGGCTTTTCTAATCAATTAAACAGCTCAGTTTCACAGATGCATTGATGATTTCTCGGATGTTTGGCCTCGGATGGTGTAATAAACAAAATGTCCACTTGATGGCAGTATTTCACTCTTATTTTTTAGGACAAACATCAGAATGAGATTTTTTTCTTTCTTGAAACCCATTTCAGGGATATCCTATGAGATGTATAGTCTCGTGAGCCAAAATAAAAGAGTAAATGGTCAGGATAAGAACTGACAATTTTATGTTCTGTAAGACTGTACGTTTTTGTAATGATTCCATACAGTGTCTAAAGAATACACAAATGTAATAGATTTGATAAAGGTTAGTAGAGGTGTGCAAAAATATTGAAATAACAATATATCGTATAGTTTAATTTGATGATATAGCATCGATATCGTGGGTTGCTGTATCGATGTATCGCAGGAGTATTTTTAGGTATATTTTACTCCATTATTTTGAGTTAGAGCTACAGTTGTACTGACATTTTCAGCGTTTTGAGTAAAATAGGTGTTTGTCATATTCACTTAATGCAGACTATCTGGTTTAATAAAGACTTTTAGTATCAGAGCCATGATTTAGCCTTTTTTACACTGAACCGTACTGAATCGATTTGAAATATATTGTATCGTATCATACTGAATCGAAAGTACATTGCATCGAAAAACATGTCGTATCGAGGCCTATGTATCAAGGTATGTATCATATTAGCAACTTCTTAATGATACTCAGCCCTACAGGTTAGGGTCTTTGCACAATTTACTAATGTGCTACTAATTGTGTGATAGCAAGGACTGTGTTAGTGTACTATTGGCCATATTTTACTTCCTGAAATGCGTATCTGTTCATTTTGTATGAATAAACTTTTATATGGCTGAAATCTAACTATTTTTGTGTATAAATGATCTAAATTGGACCCCAGAAAGAATATCAGCCTCTTGTCTATCCTATAAATCAACAATAACCACCTTATGGTCCATTAAACACAGGTCTTCTCTGGGCTTCTTCAGCTCTTGCAGCTCCAGCCGTCTGAGCTCCAGTTTTCTTTCCTTGTTCAACAGTTTCTCGTCATTTCGTTCCTTCTTCAGACGCTCCTTCTCCTGGTCACGTGGACATACAGTATAAAAAGGACCACATTTTCAGGTTTCTCATTAAATCGCGCCAGGGAGGACTACGCACCTCTGCTTTTTTACGAGCCTCTGCTTCCTTCAGGAGTATCAGATGTTGCCTTCTTCTCTCCTTTTCCTGTAAACACAAATGTTCTGATTAACTCCATGTTTGGATCTTTACGAGTTTAATATGTGGGGCCAAAGATGAAAGGGATGAGACAAAGATAACATAAAACAGCATGCAGAGACGGTAAGGATTCAAAGTAGGGCTTAAAGCTTATCAGTTTTAATCATGTTCAGGCCAAGATATTTTGTTGTTTGTGGAGTAAACTATGGTTCTGGACTTCGCGGTTTGCCAATTGCTTTCATACAAATTGCAATTTCAATTTGACTGCAATTAATCTTACAGCCCCAACTAAGGCTGTGCAATTAATTCAATTTTGGTAACGATTTCAATTTGTGTTTATTATGGGATATTTTTATTTAAATAAGTGTATTTATTTTATTTTTTTAATATAGAGGTTGTAGAACAGCTGGATATATAGTTTATTTTGGACACATTTATGTTTTTCCATGCCTTATTTCATGTTCAATGTATATTTTATTCATTTTATGTTTTATACATCGCACAATTGCTGTAACATATTTGTAGCCTATATTTATTTTCAATGTGAAATTTTAACAAAGTGTTTTTTTAGAGAGAAATGCTGAATAAATGCATCATGTAACTAAAAAATAATAATCGTTTGAATAATTGTGATTTCAATATTGACCAAAATACTGGTTAAAATACAGTAAATAACAAGACATTAGACATTGATTAGAAAATATTATTGTTAAAAACAGATGGGAGACAATCATAACCACAATGGGACAAAAACATGCAGGGTAATATAGTGCAGAATGGTATTTGCAGGCAGTTAATGTTATAAGCAGGGTTCATGACTAGACGGTGATATTGTAGTCAAACCTACCCAAACAATATCTAGCCTGTGCAACTCCATCACCTGATAGAGACATTTTCAAAGATTCAAAGAACATGGCAGTGAAAAACACTCACTACTTAATATGTATTTACCATCTGCATGCATGATTATTATACTGTAATTTAACCATAATGTATGTTTGTAGATAGTATCAGGTAAAGTTTACCTGGTGCTTCTGTAAAATAGCATGCTGTCTCCTCATCGCCCTCTCCTGTGCAACAAAAGAAAGTGCTTTAGAATGGATTTGGAAAAAACTTTTGTCACCTACATCAATTATTTTGATGTTTTAAAACGTGCTATATTATACTGAAATAGAAATCTACTTGTAATACACATTTGAACAGAACTTAGACTTTAATTACACAATTTTAAACACATATTACTTGGAGCACATATGCATTACATTTTATTTTATTATTTCTGTATGTACATATTTAAAGAGCCAATATGACGTTGTTTCCTGATCTATGTTGTAATGTTTCCTCATCACAAACATACCTAGAGCTGTCAGATGAAGAAAAGAGGTAGAGCGCTTCACTGAGTCATAAAAGAGTTAAAAAAATAGCAGTACAGGTGCTCTACGAGGGTTGAAACAATGGTCTTTAAACAGGAAGTTGCCCTTACTGGAAAATGTAAAAGTGGGCAAGGTACAAACCCGAGGCACTCCAACTGAATATATTACAAGTCCTTTGTTGCATGAAGGGATGCCAACTCATTTCGACCAGCAAGATGGTCTTCGTCAGGCCAAAGCGCTCACCACAAGAATAAAGACTTTTAATATTCACACCTGGAGTTGTGTTTTGTTTCATTTACACGTTTAACGCAAAAACCCTACATATTTAGGCTGAGTTCTTCTCTCACCCAAAAAACAAACACTCTGTTCCACCTTGTGATGTCATGTGGTAATACAGGAAGTGCTCCACTGTGTTTTTAAACTCCATACACCTTCACTAGAATCATTTGGATAATTTCAGCCCTGGAAACTGCTGATCTCTACTGAACTAAAGCTAAAATGTTCACTTGAAAACTACTACTCATGAGGTAGAATAGAGCATTTTGAGCTTTGGAGATAGACAGACTAATAATAAAGGGTTGTGTGAATGAAACAAAACACAACTCCAGGTATGTTTGTGATGAGAAAACAACACTATAACACACCTTAAATCTCACAAGAGTCAATTTTGCATAATATTGGCCTTTTAAGACAAACTCTTACCTGACTTCTTTTCTCTGCCTTTAATATTTTGGCATTGGCGGCTTCTTCTTTCTTCTTCCTTTTTGCCTGGGACCCAGACAGACATTTATTATTATTTTATTATTATTTGAAACACGTACACAATTTAAAACAACAATGGCGTGTGTGTATTTTGTTTCGTATCTAAATGAATTCTTGAGATAATTATTTCTACCAATTGACGATAAATGTCAAACCTGTCATGTGTATAAGGAATTCTTGCTGGCAGAATAAATTATGCATAATCTACTATCAGTCATTACAGCCTAAATTAATCCTGTCAAAATTTGCCCGTGAAGCGTGTCAGCTGATATTTGAATAATTAAAAAGTAAAATATTTCCGCTTCTCTTGGCAAACAGTTAAAGGCACACTGTGTAACTTTGCTGGTACAGTGCCCGCCACTTTGCATTGAGATGGTTATTGTGTTTGCCTGCTATGTTCCAAAGTATGGTGTTAAACTTATCAATCCCCATGGCGACAAGCAGGACACTCCACTAGGCCAGTTTACAGGTGAGATCTGTGAAGAGGCGACCCCACTCACAGTTTTTAAAGGCAGTTTTGAGCAATAAAAACAACCGTAATTGAATAAATGCATCTTACAAACGCCTAAGATCGTAATTGCCCCATTTACATGAGAGATTTAATTCAGTTTAAAAATAATTTAATTTGGAATAAAAAATTGTTTAAAAAGACCATGTAAACACTTAATTCCTAATGATTATTTGGAATTAAACTTATTCAGAATTAAACTTAAATCCGAATTAAGTGGGTGGTTTATTTAGATTTTAAAGCAGAATTAAGAGATGACAAAAAGCCAGTAGCAGCTGAAGTGTGTGTTTTCTTCCGGGAGACGTAAATACGTTCGTGTCCCTATCCAATCGGAAGCCTTCTCCATCCCCAGACGTTGATTGGAATTAAATAAAACCAATTTAATGTTTTTTCCATGTAAACCTTCATTCGGAATTATTATTTCCATGTAAACTCAGAGAATAATTTTATTCTGAATTAATTAATTCAGAATAATTAAATCGGAATTAAAATACATCATGTAAACGTGGCAATTGTCGGACATTACTGGCAAAACTATAGTATCTCCATGGTGACGGATCCCCAGCCTGAAAAGTTACACAGTGCACCTTTAACCAAATAGTTCACAGCGTGTAAACTTCACAAAACTGCTGACGTTTACAAAATTTCACATTAATTTCTCATGAAACAGATTATGTATTAGTGACATGCAGTAAGTTAGTGGGAGTACAGTTTGGATTAGACTTTCCTCTGGCCTTTAATCCTGTCAAAATGTTTTACAATGTTTCAGCAGCGCGTTTTTTTTCGGACATACCTCCAGAATTTGCTGTGCACGGACTTCCTTCTCCAGTCGGATTTGCTGAATGCGCCGGATCCTCTCCTGGTAAAAGGATGAGGCCCAGATCAAATGAATTAAAAGAGTGAAGCCATGCGTGTTATAGAATGGACTGGGAGGAGGCTACAGTGGCTATATGCAAATGGGGGCAATTTGGGAGACAGCAAGTTGTGAAAATTTCTAATCCCGTTGTTTAGGTTACGAGGATGCAAAGTGTTCTTACTTCCTGCTTAAGAATCTTCAGCTGTTCCTTCTTCTTGCGCTTCTCCTCGGCCACCAATATCGCTTTATCGAAAAAGTACAGAATCATAGTCATCAGAGTATTATTACTGTAGAAGATTTGAAGAACTAAGTGTATTTTACCTCGTTGTTTCTTTGCTTCCTTTGCTGCCTGTGCTCTGGCCTGCTTCTCAAGTTTTTTCATGATTTTCATGTGAGCGGCTTGTCGAGCGATTTCTGCAAAAGATGATGAAATTGCGCTGTTCAAACTGAAAGATGTACTCTGTAACTTTTTTGGTGGAATGCATGGCACCTGTTTGTTTCCATGGAGACTGTTACTGATACGTTAAAATAATTTTCATCATAACAATATAATTCATTAATCTGAAGGTCAGAGTTTGACCCCGCTCAGGCAAACCTCTGTCATTTTATTGTAGGCACCATGTTTACTATGAATCTGGTGTGTGATTAGTGATCGGTTTCCCTTACTTAGAAGTTTCTGATACGATACATACCTCGATACGATACATATCGCAATAAACTGCACTTTTGTTTCGATACAACAAATGTGATACTAAAAGTCTTTGTTAAACCACTTCTTGTGCAAAGGGAATATGAATTTTAATCCTCAAAACAGTGAAAATGTCAAATGTGTCTCATAAACGAGTTTCCTTCCACTAAACAAGCAACAAAACTGTAGTGCTGTAACAAAATAATGTACTTTAAAAAGTATCAATATATCGGGGACTGCTGCTATATCGATATTTCAATACTTTTGCACACCCCAATGTGTGAGTGAGTGATCAGTGGTGGTAGGAGGGGCCAGTGGCACATAATGGCAGCCTCGCTTCCAGGGCCACTGTGGCTAAATGAGGAGCATACAACCACTGAGTGTGGAGTGAATAAAGACTACAGTGTAGAGCTTTGAGAGCCTTTAAGTTTATAAAGCGCATTATAAAGTGCATTATTATTAGTTTATCATTACTAAACTACACAAACAAGTGTCAAGTGTCAAACCTTGAGCTTCCAGTTTTCTCAACAGTTTGGCATCAGCACCATCTTGTGAATGGACAAGAGGCTTAACTCCACTGAATGTTCGTTGGCCCTGTACTTTTCTTTGACGTCTTCCATCCATGGCAATAATACAGGGAGTGATCTCCTCCTTAGACAAAGGCATCCACTGTACACCCTCCAGGAGAACAGAAAAGGAAGAAACTTAAGTTGAGTGTTCATTTGTTTTATCTGAAAAGTATAAACTGAACAAATTAACACAAAAAAATGTACTTCTGGTCCATCTCTGGCTTTGTAGAACTCCCCAAGGTGGATTTTTGTGCTAAAGCTGAAGTTTTCTCGAGAAATTTCAGTTATCCCGTTTCTCAGTAAATACTATAGAAAGAAATATTACTCAAGTTAAGTGTTTTTGAGGCATTATTGACAGTTGCAGTATCTACCTTCAGTACATCCGGATACAGTCGAAGTTTCTTTCCGCAGGGAGCGAGGTAACAGACTTCTCCCTGCAGACGCCCCGCCACAGACCAGACCCGTGTCACTCTCTGCCAGCTGAGAAAAAACAGTCCATCAAGCAAGAATTAAGCAATATTTTATCCATAAACAACAATTATATTAAGTGTTATATGTATTAATTATATTGCATCGCTCAAAAACATGCATAATTACTGTGAGTGGGTTCAGCTCTCCACAGGCCTGACCTGTTCCTTGCACATGGAGGAAGATACATTTAATGCCATCTCCATGGAGACATGAACTTGACAAACCCTCCGCAAAAATAGTTACATAATGCACCTTTAATGGGAAGGCTAATCGCGATGTCAGAATATGAACAATACAAAAGGTCAAAAGCATTTTAAAAACAAGTACAGTAGGGTTGCCTCTAGAGCCGGTTCTGTCTTGAATATAAGATTCCAATAGGATAAAACTGCAGTCTATTATGTAATTTAGGCCCCGTCCACACTAGTACGTATTCGAGTCATTTTCGTTGCAGATGCGGTGTTTGTCCACATTAATCCGAATTAAAAACGGCTCCAGATGGTGCTGCCAGCTCCCGAGTATTCATCTGAGAACCGATCTGATCTGGCACCGTGTGTGGACGCCTGAAAATGCTGATATGCTGATGTAGGTCTATGCGCCGTGAAATAATTCACCGCCAAAACACCAAGAGGCTAGAATATATGTCCATTCATATATACAGTCTGTGCGTACGACCTGCAGACGTATAATCTCTGAACAGTTTAACATGAACTATCTCCAACGCGATAGAAGCACTGAACGGACTCACTATCAGCAGAACACCCCTCTGACACAGAAAGAACACTCATATTCCACTAAGTCATGTCCTTTAGTCTGACAGAAGCTGAACCGCATCAACGCAAAAGGAGCGAGCTGTTTTTTGAATGCTTAGTTTATGCAAATTGACCGTGCGATTTTAAGCTTGTTTCTGTAAAACGTAAACAAATATGCTCAAATCTGTGTGGATAGAAAAGGCTTGCGGACACAGAAACAATGTGTCTGAACGCAAATTTCCAATACGGTGATACGTGGATTTGTTTCAGTGTAAACGTAGTCTTAAATTAACAATAGATTATCTCACCCAAAATCCAACGGTACTCTTAATGCTTTCTCATCTGTTACTCTCTTCCTCTGTACTGGTTCAAACAAATGTAAAAAATAAGAGTAAATCTCCACACATAAAATCAAAAAATATTTAACCTTGAAAAATAAGATCTACATGCTGTACCTGGCAGTGGGACAGTTGTAGAAGATACCGAGCTGTTGTGGGTCATTGGTGCAGCGTTGCTAAAACTGCCCAAAGCAGAACAGGAGGTCTTCAGAACGGAGAAATTGGCTGAGGGGCCGGGTGAGGATTTTGTTAACAATTTATCAAGTTTCTGAGGAGCCCTGTATCCATTGCTATTTGTCTCACTGTTATTGCATTTTACATCATCTGAAGATTCAGAGTTTACTCCGACACTGCTGCCAGAATCTACAAAAACGAGAAGAATAAAAGAAAACATCAAATAGAGCAAAGGAAATTCATAACTACAAAAGATATAAGTCACCTGATGTGTTACTGCTTGTATCTTCAGTATCATTGCCATCTATTAAGGAATCTTCTGAGTCTTCAGTTTGAACCTTACCTGTCTTATTTTGTCCATTTAAATTACACGAGCTGAGCGTCTGACAGATTAGACCATTGCCACCTTTATATGGGGAAATACTCGGTTTACTTGATAGATAGTTGATAGGCATTGTAAATTGGGAGCAAGGGGCTAATGGCTTGTTCGTGGGGTTACGAGGTGAGGTGACAAGCGCTAGAGGAGCATCTTGAGTCAATCCGTTCGTGTGAAAGTTGAGCAAAGGAGCCGTTTTGTTCTTGGTTGGAGATGATAGAAAATGTCTGCTCAGGGATGAAAGGCTCGAAGATTGAGAAGTAGAGTTTTTGACACGTACGTCCTGGTCTTGGGTTGAAGGATTCGATATTGACGGCAGCTATAAAAGAAAGCGCATTAAAGTTAAAGGTGCACGCTGCTATTTTTCAGGTGGATGGTACACTATCTGCTTTTCTCCATGGAAATCTTGTTGCTTTTCAGTTTTCCATTTATTCAATTACACATGCATTTTTACTGTAAGCTGTACTGTCTCTCCACAGATCTGACCTGTAACTTGACCTGCTGGTGTCACCTACTTACTCCATGGACATAGGCAGTGTTGCATTTGGGTATAACAGAGCTACATTTTTGGTAAAGGAGTAAAAAGGAGTAATCTAATTAATTACACTCCCCACCGGAAAAGCAAAGTGGCACGTTAATACTGGGTTGAATGAGGCGATGCGATATCAGGCTTCATGCAGCGTTACAGACACACATCATCAGCAGGAGTGAGGAGAGCTCAGGACAGAGCAGGGCCAAGATGATTGGCTAAGAAGTTGGGTGGGCGGAGTCTTTGCTCACGCTGCTTTGTTATTTCTTTCCCGCACACTTCAGGGTAAACGAGACAAACTCAACGTAAATGTGACAATGGCAACGACGAGGCAGAGATATTTATTTCCAGTGTTTTCACACTGGAAATATCGACACTATTTCTCCCTCACTGAAATAAAGGACAAGAACGTGTATGTTAAGTGTATCTGTGCCCTCGGAAAATAATTCTTTTCGCGTCTGCCTCAAGTAACTCGAATCTAATGAAGCGAATCTCATCGTCGCATGCGAACACACCTCTCGTTGCTTTTGCGAAGATGGAGATGGAGCCACGGCATTAAAGCCAAACTCGATTTTTCGGGCAACAGTAGTAGAAGTAAAATGCCCTGGACATAGGTAAGTTTAATGGGTCGTACATTTGAACATTCCAGTAAAAGCAATAGCATCTCCATGACAACAAACAGATGGAAGATCCTCCACCAGAAAAGTTCACACTTACTCATAGACCACATCAAAACTAGGACTAAACTACGCCTCATTTCAGAACTAATCCTGTAGTAGACCACGACTAAAACAGGACTAGAACAGGACCAAACCAAGTCTGCAACTAAACTAGGGTTAGAACAGGACCCAACAAGGACAAATGTGAATGCACCCATAGTAAATTCCAAACATAAACAAAACCTATATGACATTAGGTATATGTTATAATAACCACCCATATTACATCACATTACTAGAATTTTTTTTAAAAGTATATAGATTATATGAAAACTATTCAATAAATGGACTCACCCTTTTTAGCGCACCACTATTTACATGAAGTCCTCTTGAAGTCATACTGCGCACATTATCGATAGAAGAAGACATCAAGAGTCTGCCATGGGACAACTTTTGAACTGGTAACTTGGGTAAATCTGAGAGTGAAGGAGATTTAGGTGAGGACAAAAATAATGAATTTGGCGAGTGAGAGGTCTTGGATTTCAGAAAAGACCACCAGTCTTGTTCCTTCATGTCTGGGTTGATTAAAGCTTTTCTCAAGTGCTGCTCCTCTGAGGGCTTGGACAAGAGAGGGCTGGGAGGGTGAGTGGACATTATGGGGACACTGTGCTGATTTCGCTGGTCTCTGGTGGTGTCTGTATCTCCAGCTGTACTTCCAGGGCTCTTCTTCGGAGTGTCAGAAGTGGTATGTGTCATACTCTGAGTGGGAGTAGGGAGAGGGAGAGAGCGAGAGAGAGAGACAGCATGTTATGTCAGTGCTACTGTGAGGGCCGGACAGTGGCAGCTCACACAACCACTTAACCGCCCACAACTGCAGCTAATTTTGACGATCAAAGTCACAGTTAAAGGGCCCATGGTACACTCATTTTTTGATCTATGTTATAATGTTGTTTCCTCATCAAAAACATATCCGGAGTTCTGTTTGGTTTCATCCACACACGTTTAACACACGAATTCTGCATATTTAGGCTGAGTTCTTCCCTCAAACAGAAAACAATTTGTTCCACCTTGTGATGTGGTAATACAAGAAGCGCTCCACTGTGTTTTTAAACACCATACACCTTCACTAGAATCATTTGGATGATTTCAGCCCTAGAATTGCCAATCTGTACTGAGGTAAAATGTAGCTGTTAACTTGAAAACTACTACTAACTAGGGATGTAACAGTAATTTTTATAGTACCAATATTATAGTACCAATTTTTTTTATAGTACCAATAGCTAATAAACATCAGGAACTACCGTATTTTCTGCACCATAGGCAATCCAGAGCGACTTATACACGAATCCACTCAGGTGTCCCAGCACGACTTCATTAAACTACAAAGCCGCACCACCCGCAGCGCACGCAAACACACACGCAGCAGACAGCGACCGTGCAGCAAAAAACACCCACAGATACACTCATCACTCCACGCCGATGAGGAACGGAACGGAGGAACAAACCGGAAAAGCAAGTGCAATGTGCCACTTCTAGACACAACTGAACAACTGAGTCACCGCGAACACACCAAACAATCCAGCGGTCCCAGACAGCACCCTCCCTACACGACACAACTGAACAAAGCCCAGAGTCACCGTGAACGCTCCAAACAAAGTCCCACTGAGTCATCTAACTGTTGTGTATCATTTAAAGTCCGGTGCGGTTTATTTGTGAAAAAAAGTTAGAAAATAGACCATTCAATGACAGTGCACCTTATAATCCAGAGTGCCCTGTAGTGAGGAAAATACGGTACATATCCGATGATTCATTTAGCGCAGACAACATGAAGAAATATGTTTTTACTAGAATTCTTGTGATTATGACAGCAATAATTCATATCAAAATCTAAAATCAAAAGCATCCTATCTACAATTATATCAGCCTCTCCAAAATATCACAATAAATATCGTACCGTGAGATGCATATCGTGATAATATTGTACTGAGAGATTTGGATATTGTTACATCCCTACTACTAACAGATGGCGAGACGAGACCCCCCACTAGAAAATTTACATAGTGCAATTTTAACTATGTGCAAAAAATGTGATGGTGTTCTTACTAAAACTATAATTTTTAAGATCACTTATTTTCAAATGTACCGTGAGTATAGTAATGTTCCATTAACTTTATTATATTATGCATAGAAAACGTAAATCTTTACATTAAAATCTCCAAGGATGACTTACTGGCAGCTTTCTTATCACTTCGTAATCTTTCTCTGAGTCGGTGGCATCACTTCCATCACTGGGGTCTTCCTCCTCTTCCTCCCCCTCTTCCTCCAGGTGTTCAGGATCACTGCTTCCGTCAGTGTCGTCAGAGCTGCCCGACACAGATCCAGACTGGCTGCTCATGCTGTCAGCCTTTTCTGGTTCTTTCTGAGGATACCAAAAGAAAATATGAATACAGTAAACAACAATAAATCTAAATAATGAAGTATTTAAAAACAGTCCCTTACTAAATCTTTGACGTGACTCTGTTTTGTTGTAAACCTTTGGAAATCAGGCTTCACCAGACCTTTGCCATCGAGAGGGTGACTACTGTTGACAGTGCCATTTAAAGCTGTGAAAAAATTTGCACAACAAGGACTTATTTTTATATATTACAGTAGAGCTTTAAATATGCTTATCTGTGAAATGACAGCTGAAAATTCAAGCTAAACATGTCAGTTTATGTTTTAAAACAGGTGTCAAATTTTAAAACAAAATGTGTGTAATAATAATGTACCAATCACATGTACTGATTCATGTACCATGTAAGGGTACACTGTTTGACATGTTAGTTTAAAGCTGCACTATGTAGTTTCCATGGAGACAACCATGGCCCATCCTCCACCAGAAATGTATTGTTGTACCTAGAATGTTCCACAGTATGGCATTAAACTAACATCTCCATGCATACAAGCTGGTCACATCACATCACTAAGCCAAGTTACAGGTCAGATTTGAATTGTAGGTAGATGCGTTTAAATCAAAAATGTTGATTGATCTCTAAGGAGAAAAGCAGACCCTCCACCTGTTAAGTTACTTAGTGCAAAGTTTGCTACTAATACAGTTGCTTCACCAATAACAAAATTTATAGTGGAGGTCACGAAGTAAACACAGCTACAGAGCTCCCCCAGAGAGGCATTGTGGCTAAAGACCATCTGTTTCTCAGCTCAATCTTACCAAGCATCAAAGTCATGGCATCAGAAACTTTTACCCAATCAGGTGGCACCTTGGATATATAATGAAAACTGCTTTAAGACACACACCCTATGTCTACAAGAGAGATCAACTAATGGCCACTTCAGGTGCGACAGCTCCCAGGAGCTCAGGCCTAGAAAGAATGATACCCATAGGGCAGGGCAATGTATTTTTTGTGAAATCAAATTGCCTGTGCTTGGCAGACAGGACATCCACAGTTTTCACAAAAGTCGGGTTTGGCAGGAATTCTTCAGTACTTTTACTGTATGAACATGATTTTAAAATCACCAAAGCGCCTAAAAGTTAGCTTTGTAAGAGCCTAGCCCCACTCTGAGCCTGTACTAGCGCTGGTCTAGCAGCGAGCGCTCTGATTGGCTGCACATTCCTGACGTCACATGTTGGGAGGCACTAGGCCAATATTTAGAAAGTAGTGCAAAAGAAAAATTATTTTCTGCATTTCGCACCAGTGAGCACAGGCCATTGAAAACAACACAACACCATCTTTGATTCATCTTCCAGATCTTATACTTCCATGGGTTGTATTATAGCAAGTTAAAAAACTCACCTGATATTTTTCCATACTGGGAGTGAGCAGCAAATACTGCAGACAAGTCCAGACTTTTAAGACCACCAAATGTACTACTCTCCAAACTGGATGTGTACAGACCAAATGCTTGACTTCTACCTGAAAAGATAGAGACACAACAAATATGAGAACATCTAAACTTATTAACATAATATGAAAAAACAATAACTAAGAGCATGCTAATGCAAAGGATGTGAAAGCACACGCCTCACTGCTGCTTGCTGCATAATGGCTCCCATCATAATTAGAATTCAGTTCAAACAGGAGGATGTGAGCACAGTGTGGGGCTGTCAGACACGTCACACCACACAGGAAAATTAAAGGAGGGCTTGTCAAAAACACCCCTGAGAGCAACAACATTTTAGGTTTTTCATGTAATATTTTGCAGTGTTTATGAAGAATTCTTTAAAATGAACATAATCTTACTGGCCTACACAAATATGTTGTGTTTCCTGGAGTAATTCTGAGGGCGGAGTGATATTCAAAAATTATATATATATATATATTTTTTTTTGCATTTTTCACAGTGATATTGTTTTCCGTCATTTATAACTTTTTTTCTCTGGTATTGAAAAGTGGTGGCACACATTGGCACTAATCAAAGTACTAACCATAATATTATTATGAGACATTTGTGAGCCCATGCCCAACCAGTAAATTGTAGAGATGTTACTAACCATATCTAAATCTCGCAGTATGATGATTTCACTACATAAATTTTATGATACGATATTTATTGCGATTTTTTTAGAGACTAACAAACCTGAATATGCTACTTTTTCCTCTGAAATGTCTGGACAAGACTTAATTAAAAAAACTAAGATTTAAAAATGCTTACATTTATCATGATCTATGTTGTTCCCCTGTTTTTTGTTTATTTTTTAGCTATTTCTGCACCATAACTCTTAATTTAAGCAAAAAGACTTGTAATTCGATATATTGTAATACCTTTGATGAGACGGCATCACGATAGTTCTGTTATTGTTACATCCCTAATAAATCGCATTTAGAATAACCCTGGATTTCAGAATGTTGAGAATGATTAAAATTGTTAATCGCTATGGTCCAAACAAAATATTATATTTATCTATTTTATAAAATATTTTGGAACAAAAAAAAAATCAAGATGTTGATAAGATTACATATAAATAATACTTTGTACACGAAGTCTTCATTGTAACCTATTCATGGATTTCAAGTGTAGACTGTTCTCAAGTTTTGAAAAATGAAAGACTTAACATAGTAATGAACAATTCCAAATAAAATAAAATAAATACTGTATCTCTTGAATTAACTGTGTATTGAGAGTCAGAAGTCCTACAAATGGCATCCATTATGAAAAAAGCCATGGGAACGCTATAGACTGAAAAATGTAAAATAGCCAACAATATATTCAAATGTAATTAAAAAGGTCAGCGGAAATGGTGAATTCATTTACATTTATTATTGACTGATGGAATAAGTGAAAAGCCATTACTCCCATCCCCCCAGCCCAGGTCCAACACCGCAACCTCCCGATCTTTCATTACAACATGAATACAACGGATGAGCCAGAGAAAGAATCAGATGTTTGGTAAAAGTCGACCAACATTTATCAGTATTTCTGGTGTGGTCTGGAAAAACATGATGGAACAATGGAACTGGTGACTAATAAACAACAAAATATAAACATGGACTTTGATTTGACAGTTATTTAGCACAAAAATAATACAGATTTGGCATAAAAATAAATAAGTCAGTATGTCAAGACACATCTAAACTAACCAAATCCAACAATGTTATGAGTTACCACCATAAATCTAGTGTGTAGTCTGTACCGTAAGCGCTGAGAGGGGGGCTGAACACAGAGCTGACCACGGAGCTGCACTTGGACGGAGGTGCCAGGGAGGAAGACACTGGTGAAGGTTGAGTCAAACGCTCAGAAGGATCCATTTCTGTTAAAAACAAAACAAAAAACACAAGAAAAATATGGTAATCATTTACTGGTTCTCAGATTTCTCACCTAAGAAAATATGTGGCCTTCCAACTCAGAGTACCGCCAGATCTAAACCAGGTCTGTAACAGGATTATTCAAGTTTTAAGACAGAGTAAAAATGGAGTTTGAAATTTTAGTATTGAGACACTGAGTCATTATAAACACAAAGGAATAGGCTTGGCACTCAATACTGATCTTGACACTGCAGTGATCATTTTAAATATGCTCTTTTTTTTTTAGACAACAGACATTTTAGTATTTTTTTAAACACAAAATAATACTTTTCTATGTCTCTGCATGTTTATATTTGCTCTGATAAAGCTTAAGATCATTCTAAAAAGGTGAAATTATGTCCTGATTTATATTTAAGCATATTTACATGTTGTAAATTACAGTTTTAGTATTGATCTGTATGTGATTTTTTAACCCTAACTAAAATAGGTATGACTACAACATTGCAATTCCACTTTTAAGCAATGAATGACCCAAAAGAGGACAAAACTGTGAATTAACAGTACTGCGAAGGAATGCGTATACCACCAGAAGCAGATCGTGACACTCCTTTTTGCCAAACATACATTATATTATCTGGGTATGTTTTTGTTGTTGATTGTAATCTCCGTTTTCTCTTAACGCCGTTTTCTGATGATGAAAACAGGAGCGGTTGGTTGATTAATTTGAGCAAACAAAGCGATCCTCTGAATATCAAGTATCATCCTTCACCCAGAGCAGCGCTGATTAGATGTAAATGACATGTCTCTGTGGCCATGCTTCACTGAAACGGCCACTGCTTTCTGCGCCGTTAAGAGACACGCGATAACAAGAGACCAGTCGAGTTTTCATGCGATTTAAAAGGCGCACAGTGGATGTTGAATAGACCATAATGCATAATGTAACTTTAGGGGTAGGCTGACATTGCTTTTTGAACTAAAATATTGTGTAAAGAGAAACACTGCACATTGCCTTAAAGTGCATTTGACAGATTAATATGTTTATCTACAGGATTCACATCTGATAATCTGCCATCTACTGGTAAAAATGATCTAAAATATGTTTTGCATTAAGTACCACTGAAATCCAAATGCGGCACTAGTTGATACTAAAACTAACAATGACACTTGATACCAGAGGTGGGACCGGAAGTTGTTGTTTTGCAAGTGTCAAGAAAGTCTCAAGTCTTTGACCTCAAGTCCGAGTCAAGTCCCAAGTCAAATACAGGCAAGTCACTGGCCCATAAGTTCAAGTCAAGTCCAAGTCATCTGCTTTGAGCTTCAAGTCATTTAAAGTCTTTAAACCAAAGTACCAAATATAGCTTTGGTTTTTGCAATTAATATGAACTTTAAACTAAATTGTACTTCAAAAGTCATGGTATATTTACATGTCAGTATTTGTATAAGAGTTGTAGAAATGCAATTTTTTCCTTTTTAAATGTCTTGACAAGATCTTAGTGTGAATCATTACAGTCAGAACAGAAAGAATTCAGATGTAAAAGTGCTAAATATCAGTTATTTTGTCATGTAATCTGCACTGAAATGGAAGGATCATGTTCTATGTAGTTCTATCTGTTTTACTGGATTGTACTTTATATTACTGTAGTACATTTGAGGATACCACATCACAGTACTTCAGTTACATCCAAAGTAACAAACTGAAAATTGGGAGGAACATGTTAAAGTCTATTCCTGTCAAATTAAACGCCGCATGTATCAACTGAAAAGAGAAAAGTATTTTCTAAAAACATATATATATATATATATATATATATATATATATATATATATATATATATATATATATATATATATATATATATATATATATATATATATATATATATATATATATATATATATATTTTTTTTTTTAGGAGAAGCATCAAGTCTCCTCAAGTCACAGGCCCAAGTCAGTGCCCTTCAAGTCCAAGTCGAGTCCCAAGTCTTACTCCATTTTATCAAGTCAAGTCTCAAGTCCTAAAACTAGTGACTCAAGTCTGACTCGAACCCAAGTCACGACTTGTAAATTCCAACCTCTGCTAGATACCCATTTGAGAACACAATTAATTATACTGGCGAAATTACATTCACTGCAATTTTCACTTTTCTTGATTGCTAAATAACTACTATTATTTTGAGTCTTTTATTTAGAATAGAAATCAAGTTTAATACATTTTTTTTGTGACCAGTGCACTGTAAAGTATGTGCAGAACTATTTGAGGGGGAAAAAAATGAAGCAACATAATTGAAAGCTTCATTCACGTTGGCACAAGAAATTGAGTCAAAAACCAACACGACAGTTCTGAATGTTGTTTTCACATTAGCGTTGTTTTATGTGGAATCATATGTTATAAGAATCTATAACAGCACAAAGTGAATATTCCACCAGCTGATCCATCATAGAGCAGCGCCTGTCGTCTGTATACAAACATCCTCAATATGAAAAATAGCGTCTTATCAACACAGTCACTGCTCTAATGAGGCTGGAGGCAAAGGCATCCATCACTGCTGCTACACAGTGTACTCATCATAATGAACATCACCAATCTCCAGCCCTGTTTAGCCACATATTTCTCCGACTGCACGAAAGACAAACAGCATTTCTCAGAGTCACAGTGTTCCACAAAGCACACCTACAGAAGATGAGCGCAGACAGGGGACTTATTAAACTTCCTACAAATAGCATCGGGAATCGGACCTGCTGTGAGGAAGAAAAGCCTGCTTCCCCCGTTGCCTTGGCTACAAAGAACAACGGAATCACGGGGGCTTAGAGATAAACTTGCCAAACAGCATGATAAAAGGAAGCCTGACATGATTTTTACTTTCAAAGGAGGTAGGTGGCTTAATAGTTAGTTCTTGCAGAGAATAAAAAAGGAATATAAACTGAAATTAGGTTAAGGTTCACTTAATTTAACCTGTCAGGAGCAGTGGGGTCACAATGCAGCACCCAGGGACCCATCTCCAGATCCTGAGTTAGTCCTGGTCAGGAGGATTATCTTAACTGGAGGATTTTACCTGTTGTGCAAGTTTTGGCGTACCTTCTTGCTGTGAGGCATGAGCGCTAGCCACTTTTTGTTCTATGAACATACCTCCAGAGATCTTAAAACCTTAACAATGAGAGTGTTTACATGCACATCAGTATCCCGGTTATGATCGGGTTATTTGAGTATACCAGTTTCGTCATGGTGCATATATACGCAGCATTCCAGTTTCAGTATCCCGAATAAGGCAGTATCCTGGTTATGAGAAACCGGGATACTGTAGCTGGTATATTCCGATAGTAACCGGGATACTGTGGCATGTAAACGCAGTATCCCGGTTGCTGCAATGTAAAGTTGAGTGCGCATGCATCCAAAAGACAAACATTTTTTTGTCTTTTCACCACAACAGTAGTGACATAAATAAAGTGGCCAACATAAATACAGTGACCATACATGAGTGAAATGACTGTAAAATAAAGAGCTGCACAAGAATCTGCAGTGGTATGACCTGCACATGTATGATCGCTGAAACGTTAAAACATGAGCCATCTCCTACAATATACACAGAACAGACTCACCATCAGCAGCACATCCTCTGTCACAGAAAAAACACATATACTCCACTGAGTCGTGTATTTTAGTCTGACAGAAGCTGAACCACATCAGCGGCACAAGGAACGAGCTGTTTTTTATTTGTGCTAAATGTTTATGCAAATTAGCCATGCGGTCTTAAGTTTTGTTTCTGTAAAACGTAAACAAATGTGGCAAAGCTGAATTATATTATCAAACGGGCTGATGTGGTTATGGTTTATATGTCGTAAAGTAGAATTTATTTATGCAGAAGATTTTAATTAAGAATCTGTTCGGTTTGATCTGTGCAGTGGATTGTGGGATATCTCATAGCTTCTTAGTGCTGGTTAAACCTCCCAAGCTTCCTACACTAAAGGAGCTCATGGTTGCTTGTATTTTTCCCGGTTTACTAAATAAAATTAAGTTAATGTTTGCGCTTGCACATTTGTAAGATTATGTCAAAAAAACGGGATACTCCATATGATCATGTAAACAGTGATAAGTATCCCTGTTTCTCAGCGCTAATAACCGGGATACTGATGTGCATGTATACGCACTCAACATTGAAAACATTACAAAGAGAAAGTAAACAAGTCTAGTATGCCCCACCTCTGATCATATTCTCTTGGACATGTCCGTGTTTTATATGATGTGTTGTCGCAGTAATCCCCAGATACTACTGAGCTTTATATCAAAGTTTGTTTAGGAACTTCAGCGTTGGCATGAAAGTATCTGGGTACGCGCAGTAGTTATGTCACTAAGGAGGCTTTTGACACATTTGTCCAAGATGTCTGACATAAAGCGAAGGCAGCTTGGATCAAGGTAAACACGACCATCAAACCTGATCCATCTCCTCCTCCTCTCTCTTTCGCTCTCTCTCTCTCTCTCTCTCTGGAGCACAGAGCATAAATCAGACAGCAGCTTCAGTGACAGGAGGCGCTGTGCCGAGCCAAAAGCACCACTAAAGCAGATCCTCAGAGTCCCCTCACAGCGTTTGTCACACCGGGTCCATATGTCCTCGGCAACGCTGGAGCAACCTGCGCTGGAAATGTGCAACAACCACCTGTGCACTGAAAAGATTAGGTTAGGACTCATGAGCGGAGTAAATAATACTGAGGGAAAAACAAGATGGATGCCTAAATATTTTATTTCAATTTAGTTAAGTTTAAATTAAGAATGCACCGATCCATCTTTCTCTGTCAATATAAAGCTGCCAATATCAGATATAAACTGATATTAGGGCAGAGACTGAGAATTTTATTTATTCAATTTAAACACAGTGTATGGAATGTAATTATAAAAATGTGTTTTGTAATTATTATTTTTCATTTAATATTACTTGTCAAGTTTAATATTATGAGACGTTTTAGGCCAACATTTGACAGTAAATCTTCTGCCAGTAAATGAACTGCTCT